CCAACCAATGGCTTCAGTGGTGGAAACCAGCCGGTGAAGAAGAGTTTCCTGGTGTACCGTAATGACTGCAGCCTCCCCCGGAGTAGCTCAGACTCAGAGTCCAGCAGCAGTAGCAGCAGCAGCGCTGCCTCAGACCGAACCAGGTACCAGCTCTCCAGATCAAGGCCAGCCTCTGTGGATGCCCTTCCCATGCTCATGGGCTTTCCCCGGTTTCCGTATTGGAAGTGGGGTGGCTGCCATCTCAGCGTAGATTAAGATGGTTCAAACCAAACGTTCTCTGCAAAATAAATGGGATAAATCAGTTTCACCATTATGGAACAGAGAGAACCTTCCTGGGTTAAGGTGATGGTTTAGAGATGAGGGCATAAACTAATGCCTTGTGGCCTGGATTTGACCTATAAACATATTTTGTTTGGCCAGCAGGGTGTTTTTAAGAGATGGATCCAGACATGCCACATAAAATTCCTAGGCTCTGTATACTCTTTAAAAATCAGAAGATCTGTCAAATCTGGCCAATACTTCTTTTAGACAATGCATGCATTCTTCTCCACCACTGCTCACTCCAGCCCACCTCAGTCAGATCACCAGCCTAGTCCCTGAGGGCATTTGAGTTTGAAATTCCTCATTTAGCCTCTGCTATCCAAAAGTCTCAGACCCTGGGAGCTTAACATGGAGAAGACACCTCCCATGTCACTCCCCGTTCTTCCCCTCTGTTGAGCTGTGCTCTCCATTGTCTTTTTTTTTTACGCCATCCTGAAAAAATGCTGACTGATCCATTGTCATGTCCACAGCACAACACCCTCAAAACAAGGCCGGGGCAAGCCCTCTTTCTCTCGGGGCACATTCCCAGAGGACAGCAGTGAGGATACCTCAGGCACTGAGAATGAGGCCTACTCCGTGGGCACTGGCCGCGGCGTGGGCCACAGCAGTAAGTACCCTTGCCCAAGGCCAGGGTTGCTGGGAACCCATTGTCAAGGCCTTGCCAGTCCCCCAGCTGCTGATCCACCTTCTCTCTCCCATTCCTGTGAAGTGGTGAGGAAGAGTCTGGGCCGGGGAGCTGGCTGGCTGTCAGAGGATGAGGACTCCCCCCTGGACGCTCTGGACCTTGTGTGGGCCAAATGCCGAGGGTATCCATCATACCCGGCTCTGGTAGGTTTCCACTACTCTCGTCATACCCTTGCTTTCTAACCCCAGAACACAGACTTACAGTTAGCAGATGTCTCTTACTCTCTGCTGAGCTGTGGGACAGAAGGTTCCCTGGCAGATTGACTGGTGGGCAGCCAGTTTCTCTGTCTTTCCTTTTCCCTTATCTTTGCCCCTTGAACTCTGAAATAATTTAGCATGGAAAGAAGCTAAGAGTCAGCGTCGCAGCCCTAGTAGCATGATAACCTTTCTCTGTCCCTGCTTCAGATGTAATCTACAAATTCTTGGGTTGGACAAGCCTTAGGAAGTGGACTGAATCAAACTATGCTCTTATTACACCCTTAGATCATTGATCCAAAGATGCCCCGAGAAGGTATGTTCCACCATGGGGTTCCCATTCCTGTGCCCCCCCTGGAGGTGCTGAAACTGGGGGAGCAGATGACCCAGGAAGCCCGAGAGCATCTCTACCTCGTCCTCTTCTTTGACAACAAACGAACCTGGTAAGAAAGGAAGGGAGCATTTGGTGACTCAAAGCCACAGATGCAGGCCAGTGTGGTATTGGGGCAAATTGCCAGGGAACTCTAGCAACAGACAGACTGGACTATCACAGATCAGTGGAGGGGGGACTTAGAACGGATTTTGAGCAAACAGGTTGTATTGACCATGAGTGTGCGGGGCTGAGTGGGCAGTAGCTGACAAACAGCTGCAGCTAGAAACCAAAGGACCATCAGTGACTATAACAAATATGGGGGTGGCTCCCCGCCCAGACTCAGATGGCTTCTAGACTTAGTTTTCCCATCTCTGCCTCCACAATGACAAGATGAGGGTAAAGCAGGAATAAACATTCAGACTCTGAATCCTTGTTTTACATACGTAGTCTTTTTGTTAACTGTCTGCACAGGATATTCAGTTTCATTAAAGTCTGCCTGGAGCCCTTAGAATAGGTTGCCTGTTTCTGGTTAGGTCAGGGCTCCTCCTTTTGTACCTATAAACACCCTATGATTACCTACCCTCCCTGCCACCTCCAATATATCTGTTGACTGGGCTCTTTCATCACTAGATTATGAGCAGACCCTTGAGCGCAGGGACTGTGTCTATTAGTCTCTGTAACCCCAGTACCCACCACAGAGTCTGGCCAGAGTAGGCACTCAGGAAGTGTGTTCTAGAGAATAGAGGGAGGAAGGCTGGTACTTGTTCTCCCTGCGATAATTTATTACTTATCTTTACCTTGTCCTATAGGCAGTGGCTGCCCAGGACCAAGCTGGTTCCTTTGGGTGTGAACCAGGACCTAGACAAGGAGAAGATGCTGGAGGGCCGCAAGTCCAACATCCGCAAGTCAGTACAGATCGCCTACCACCGGGCTCTGCAACACCGCAGCAAGGTGCAGGGCGAGCAAAGCAGTGAGACCAGCGATAGTGATTGACACTGCCCAACACAGCCCAACCTGCAGTGCCCTATGACCTCTCTCCTCCCCTTAGCTCACTGTCCCGGAGTGGCACCGGCCTCTGCACTGACTCATTCCTGGTCTTGGGGCCAGTTCTCAGGGGAAGCTGGGTAGGGGAGGTCCCTCCTGCCCTGAGTGCAGCTGGACTGTACAGAACACTCCAAGGGCCCATGGTGGTTCAGTGCAAGGAGAAGGGAGGTCCCACAGGTCAGAAAGAGCTCCAGAGACCTCACGGTATTGTAGGGCAGGGTGGTGGGCCAAGGTTAGGACACTGCATAAAACAGGCCATCCCACCACCTCTGCCTGCTCATGCCAGGAGAATCCGCAACTGCCTAGAGGCCTGAGGCCCCTACAGGTGGTGAGGTGAGCGGGCATCTGCCCAGCCTAGCAGTGGGATTGATGTCTGTCCAGCCCGGAAGAGGGGCACTAGGTGACCCCCTCCCCTGCTGTTGTAAATACTGTAATTATCGGAGAATTTAAATTATTCTCATTTGTAACTGCGTTTCCGGGTCGCGCCAGAGTCATTTGGTACTAAAAAAAAAAACGACTGGGGCCTGTCCCCATTTTTCTTCTCTTTCCCATAGATTTACCCCCCACCTTTCAAACTGGTTTGTATTTATTTCAAAGGAAGAAAATATATTGATTCTTAGAAAATATTTCTGTCTATTTAGAATTCTTTGTTCTTGCCTTTTGCCAGAGCAAAGGGATACAAAGGGAAGTTCTGTGTCCCAAGGATGGTACCTAATTGGGTCCAATGGTTGCTGACTGCTGTGCATGCTGCATTTATAAGACAACAACAGAGACCTTATGAGAGCTCCCATTTCTCATGCACTTACTGAGTGGCAGGCCCTGTGCCACACACCTTTAGATAACACAGTTTTATGTAATCCTTGTAACTATGGGGTACTTTAATCATAGGCTAAGCATCTCCACAGAGATGCTGAGGTTTAGAAAAATTAAGTAACTTGCCTAAATTCCCACAACTAGGAAGCCGTAGAGCCTAGGATTATGAACTCTGGTCTATCTGTCTGCAAAGTGGGCTCTTCAACCAGTACGCTGAACTGCCGGAGGAAGAGTCAGCTAGCTGCTGATTCCTTCAGACTTCCGAGGCCTCGCGTTCTCTGCCGGTGGAGTGGCTCCAGTGCTTCGGAGTCGCCACAGCTGAGACCTTCCCCTGCTTTTAACTGGGGACGGAGCGTGGATGTGGAGGGCTGCTCTTCCGCTTATCCGCAAGCTTTTCTGACCCCGCCAGTATTTATTGAAGGGGTGTCTCCCGAGTGCCAGGCACCCGTGGGATGCCACGCCTGCAAGAGACAGCCACAGGAAATGGCTGCCACCGAGTAGAACTGAGACACAGACCACGCAGGTCTGACGCTGACAGGTGCGCGCTGCTGGGCACTGCGGGTGGGACACAAAGAGCCATCAGCTGCAGACCTAGCCCTTCAAGAACTTGCAGTCTCGTGTACTCAGGTATTATGCAAGGAGGTGAAAAATGGCCCCAGATAAAGTTCATGGCCCCTAGCTTCCTGTTCCTCCAGAAGGGAAGAAGTCACAGAATATATATTCCCCGGTCCAGGTGGCCGCCCCGAGGCCACACACCGGTACTTGGACGCGACCTAGTGAGCCCCGCCAGAGAGAGCGCCCCGCACAGGCCCATCCGGCAGGCGGCGCAGCGGTGCAAACGGGCGGGACGTCGTTGAAGGCACGCCCGGGCCTGAAGGGAGCAGCTGCGGCCGCCTGAGGGCTGCGGCCGGCCCCGACGGAACATTCTCGAAGAGACAGGCCTCCGAAGGCGCGAAGTCTGTGAGGACGCCCGTCCGCGAAGTGGAGGCCCGGCGAGAGGGCCTCGGAGGGGGCGAGCCTAGCGGGCGAACGCTGACGAGAATCCTCTGGAGACGCGCCGGAGACGTTTCCCGAGGGGCGAGGGGCCGGAGCCGTGTCCGGTCCGGTTCTCGGCGGCGCTCAGAGGGCTCGTGGGAGGCGGCCCAGGTAGGGCGAATGTCTGAAACTCTGAGGAGACTGGTGGAGAAAAGGCTCCCTGAGGGCGGGCTGGGGGACGGTGCGGCTCTGAGGACCGACGGCCCTGAGGAGGATAAGGGCTCAGAGACCAGTCAGGAAGATGGGGGCCTGAGGGCGCGCTCTGCGCGGGGCCCGCGGGCGCCGGGCGGGGACACGGCGGCGTGCGGAGCGCGGCGAAGCCCGAGAGAGAACGAGGCCAATAGCCGGCGGGGAGCCCAGCGCGCGCCAACCGCTTCGGCGCCTCGGAGAGCCCCGCCCGCGCGCCGCCACGCCCTGTTTCCCATTGGCACCGCCCCCTTCCTCCTCCTATTGGCTACCTCTGGGTCAAATAAACGGCGCTTGAGCCGTATTTCCGGTGATGGTGAGGTCGGCTCCCCGGAGGAGCCGGAAGAACACGTTTGCGCGCGCTTCCGAAAGTCTGGGCAGCCGCGGGAACTGATGCGAGTGCCCAGAGGCCCGGGAGGAGACGCCGGGAGGCGGGGGCGGGGCCTGCGCCTCAGCAAAGGGGGAGGACTGGGACAGGTGGTGGGGACAGAGCGGGAGGAGCGGGACTTTGGCAAAGCGCGAAGCGAGGGGCCCGCAGGTAGTGGAGGCATCTGGTGGAATATGGCGGGGCCTTAAACAGAGACTGAGAAGCCAGGACCCAGTGGGTGAAGCCGTAAGAGACGTGGTCTCTGGGCTCGGAGTTAGTCCGCTTCCGAGTGGGCGGGGACGTGTTAGCCCAGCAGCATGGGGCATCGAACTCTGGCCTCCGCCCCGGCCCTGTGGGCCTCCATTCCGTGTCCATTCTCCGAGCTGCGCCTGGACCTGGTTCTGGCTTCTGGCCAGTCCTTCCGGTGAGTGACTGCCCCTGGGAGGCCCCTCCCAGGGAGCCCTGGCTCCTGACTCTCAGCGCTGCCGGCCGTGGGTGCACAAGAATTTTGGGGGTGATAGAAGAAACTCCAGGGTACAGAAGAGGAAGCAGGCATGGATAGCCAGCCTCTTACCTCCTTTATCTAGTAGAGGTCGTGTGTGCATTGGTGTTGTATGGACCCAGTGGTGTAACCGACGTAAAAGATAGCTCTTTTACTTTGCAATTAAATCAGTTTTGTAAATGGAGTGGTTATAGGATGGGAGGGATCCCAAAGGGTGCAGGAAGGGAAACTGAGTGCTGCTAAGGCTGTTGTGTACCTATGGACTTAGGTGGAGGGAGCAAAGCCCTGCACACTGGAGTGGTGTGCTGGCGGACCAAGTGTGGACGCTGACTCAAACTGAAGAGAAGCTCTACTGCACTGTGTACCGGGGGGACGCGGGCTGGGTTGGCAGGCCCACACTGGAGGAGCTGGAGGCTGTCCGCGATTACTTCCAGCTAGATGTCTGCCTGGCTCAACTGTATCACCACTGGGGTTCCGTGGACTCCCACTTCCAAGAGGTAGCTCAGAAGTTCCAAGGTGAGTCCAAGGCCTAGGGCAGGGGTTAGGGGGTACTTGGACGTTGGTGAAGTTACTTCTCTGTGACTCAGTTTTATCATCTGTAAGATGTAGACTATCTACTTTGTAGAATTTTATGAGGATTAAAGGAGCTAACATATAAAGCGCTTAGAATAGTGCCCAGCACAAAGTAATTATTATTACTATTTATTTAATTTTGTTGTTGTTGTTGTTAGAGATAGGGTCTCACTCTGTCACCCAGGCTGGAATGCAGTGGTGTGATCATACCTTGCTGTAACCTCAAACTCCTGGGTTCAAGCGATGCTCCTGCCTCAGCTTCCTAAGTAGCTAGGACTACTTGCACGTCACCACACCTGGCTAATTTTTTTTATTTTTTGTAGAGTAAGAGTCTTACTATGTTGCTCAGATTGGTCTTGAACTCTTGGCCTCAAGCAATCCTCAGCTTCCCAAAGTGCTAGGATTACACATGTGAGCCACCATGTGTGGCCAATTATTACTATTATTATTATCCTACTGATCACCACAGTGAAGTGACAAGGATATTGAGCCCATTCCTGGCTGTGTGACCTGGGACTAGTTACTTCATTCATTTTGTAAATATATACAAAGTATCTGCCATATGACTGGGGATACAGCAACAAACAAAATAGACACAGTTCTTGCCTTCATGGTGATTACATTGTGGCCTCTTTTTCTGTAGAGTGATATGGTAACTCAGTTCTCACAAGATGCTGTGAGGAATGATAAGAGGTCTGGTGACGGCCGGGCGCAGTGTCATCTTCACGCCTGTCATCCTAGCACTCTGGGAGGCCAAGGCGGGCGGATTGCTCGAGGTCAGGAGTTCAAAACCAGCCTAAGCAAGAGGGAGACCCCGTCTGTGCTATAAATAGAAAGAAATTAATTGGCCAACTAATATATATAGAAAAAAATTAGCCGGGCATGGTGACGCATGCCTGTAGTCCCAGCTACTTGGGAGGCTGTGGCAGCAGGATCGCTTGAGCCCAGGAGATTGAGGTTGCTGTGAGCTAGGCTGACGCCACGGCACTCACTCTAGCCTGGGCAACAAAGCGAGACTCTGTCTCAAAGAAAAAAAAGAGGTCTGGTGTTGCTTTGTTTTTTATTTATTTATTTATTTATTTTGAGACAGTCTCGCTCTTTTTCTTGGGCTAGAATGCTGTGGTGTAACCTAGCTCACAGCAACCTCAGACTCCTGGGCTCAAGCGATCCTACTGCCTCAGCCTCCCGGGTAGCTGGGACCACAGGCATGCGCCACCATGCCCGGCTAATTTTTTGTATATATGTTTTTAGTTGGCCAATTAATTTCTTTCTGTTTTTAGCAGAGACGGGGTCTCGCTCTTGCTCAGGCTGGTTTTGAACCCCTGACCTCAAGCGATCTTCCTGCCTCGGCCTCCTAGCATGCTAGGATGACTGGCAGGGGCCACCACGCCCAGCTGGTGTTGCTTTCTCTAACAATGCTATCCCTCATTCTCACCTGGAGCCCTGATACCTAGGGTCTGATCTGAGGGTGAGAGGATGCCACTCCTGATGGCAAGTGCTTCTCCTCCCCACTGCCTTTTTGGTTCCCAGGTGTGCGACTGCTGCGACAGGACCCCATTGAATGCCTTTTCTCTTTCATCTGTTCCTCCAACAACAACATTGCCCGCATCACTGGCATGGTGGAGCGGCTGTGCCAGGCCTTTGGACCTCGGCTCATACAGCTTGATGATGTCACCTACCATGGCTTCCCTAGCCTGCAGGACCTGGCTGGTGAGTAGGTGGGTCCCCTACCCCTAGGCCTTTGGTTAGCTTTTTTTTTTTTGATACACAGTCTCGCTTTGTTGCCCAGGCTAGAGTGAGTGCCATGGCGTCAGCCTCGCTCACAGCAACCTCAAACTCCTGGGCTCAAGCAATCCTCCTGCCTCAGCCTCCCCGAGTAGCTGGGACTACAGGCATGCGCCACCATGCCCGGCTAATTTTTTCTATATATATTAGTTGGCCAATTAATTTCTTTCTATTTATAGTAGAGATGGGGTCTTGCTCTTGCTCAGGCTGGTTTTGAACTCCTGACCTCAAGCAATCCGCCTGCCTCGGCCTCCCAGAGTGCTAAGATTATAGGCGTGAGCCACCACGCCCGGCCTGCTTAGCTTTTAGGAACTGTTCAGTTCTTTGGTTACTATATCTCAAGGCTTCCTGCCTTCCCCAAAACTGCCCCCATACAGAACCACCCTGCCTGGTCTGGTCAGCTCCAGTTTCTCCTCATCTTCCCTATTCGTCCCTGAAATGTCAGCACCTCACTAGTCTGTGGATTTTGCCCAGTGGTTTCAGTACCTCATCAGAAAAACATCTGTATGCAGTTTACAGTAGTTTGGCGTCAGGAGCATGCCTTCTAGAGACAAACTTCCTGGATCTGAATCTCAGCTCTATCACTTGGGCACATTATTTAGCATCTCTATACTTCAGTTTCTTTATCTGCATAATGGGATAATAATAGCATCTACCTAACAGAGCTGTCCCAAGGGTTGAATAAAGGAATACACATACTGCACCTAGCACAGTGTTTGGCACTCAGGAAGTATGTGTAAAATTCAAACTGCTATCGCTACAGTGACTCGAACAATTTTGCATCCAAGAACACGTGCGCTTCACACAGCCCTGTGTAGCAAGTGTATCAGTTGGCAGATGTGAGAAGAAAGCTATGGGAAGTGCTTGGGGACTATATAGCAAGGAGACAGCCTACCTCAAGAAAAGAGAATGTGGCTCACGCCTGTAATCCTAGCACTCTGGGAGGGAGGCTGAGGCGGGAGGATCACTTGAGCTCAAAAGTTCAAGACCAGCCTGAGCAAGAGCGAGACCCCTTCTCTACTAAAAATAGAAAAAATTAGCCAGTGTGGTGGTGCACACCTGTAGTCCCAGCTGCTTAGAGCCTGAGGCAGGAGCACTGCTTGAGCCCAGGAGTTTGAGGTTGCTGTGAACTAGGCATGGCCCCCTAGCCCAGGTGACAGAGAGAGACTCTGTCTCAAAAAAAAGAAAAGAATGTTTTTAGTGCTTAGAAACCTGATCTTGAATCTTAGCTTCTAGCTTAGTTGTCAAAAGACCTCAAGAAATGTATTCACTTCTCTAAGCTTATCTTAACTTGTTTGTAGAATAGAATAACAGTTTGTATCTAGAAGGGTTTGGGGGATGAATAAAGGAGTCATGAGGCAGTACACTGTAAGGCAAGGGGTTAAGAGCACAAGATATTGGTTGCCCAGACCTGGGTGCAAGATCCCATCTTTCCCGTGTCCTTCTTAAGCAAGTTAGTTAACCTCTGCTAAGCCCTCATTTCTCCTGCCCTATAAAATGGGGAAAACAATAGTATTGTCATCGAGATTCTTGAGAAAAGTCAGCATGGTAATGTACCTAAAGCATTTTGCTAATGTGTGATACCCAGCACTTGATAACAGAAGCTGTTGTTATTACTATGGTTATTTTTTTAGATCGTGGGTGTGACACACTCTTTGGAAAGATTAAAGAACTCAAATGGGGAGCCGAGAAGAACAGCAAGTCCTTCCCAGTCCCAGGACTAGAGTTGGGCTCCAGTGCCCAGTGCGTAGTAATAGTTACGCAGAAAACATTTGTAGTGGGGCAGAACCCAAGCTTTAACCATTTCCTTTGCACATAAAGGTGGCTACTGTCTCCTAGGTGGTGAGGTGGGAGGGGGTATTTAAGAAAAGCATTTATGTGGGGTGGGGGGCTCACACACCAGCCTGAGGACAGGAAAGACTTGACCCCCTGCTTTCCTCCCGACTCCCCACAGGGCCGGAGGTAGAGGCTCATCTCAGAAAGCTGGGCCTGGGCTACCGTGCCCACTACGTGAGTGCCAGTGCCCGAGCCATCCTGGAAGAACAGGGCGGGCTGGCCTGGCTGCAGCAGCTGCGGGAGGCCCCCTACGAGGAGGCCCACAAGGCCCTCTGTGCCCTGCCCGGGGTGGGCACCAAGGTGAGGGCCCCTGTGGGGTAGGAGCTGCCCTCTCCACTCATACTGAGAGTAAGAGAGTGGGAAATGAGGCAATCCTGAGAGCTAGGTGGACGGTTGGCTTCCAGGGGCAGAGCTGGAAGGACAAAGGATATAAGCAGATGTTTTATGAGAGCAGAAAGAGTATAAAGGATTTTGCCTTTGGGCCGGGCGTGGTGGCTCACGCCTGTAATCCTAGCACTCTGGGAGACTGAAGCTGGTGGATTGCTCAAGGTCAGGAGTTCAAAAGCGAAACCCTGTTTCTACTAAAAATAGAGACAAATTAATTGGCAACTAAAAATATATAGAAATAATTTGCTGGGCATGGTGGCACATGCCAGGAATTTGAGGTTGCTGTGAGCTAGGCTGACACCACGGCACTCTAGCCCAGGCAACAGAGTGAGACTATGTGTCAAAAAAACCCCCAAAAAACGAATATTGCCTTTGAATGAATTTCTAGAAATGCCATTTGTTCAGGTGGATATATGTGCTGCTATACGTATGCAGAAATTTCCAGAAGGAATTAGAGGAGGAAACTTAATAGTGGTTCCCTAGGGGAAACAAATAGGAAGTTGTTTCTATGTTTTGTTTTTTTCTTTTCTTAAAATTACATGTACAGGGTTAACTAGCAATAAGATAGAGAATTAGACTTTTTTGTCTTTTTTTTTTTTTTTTTTTTTTGAGACAGAGTCTCGCTTTGTTGCCCAGGCTAGAGTGAGTGCCGTGTAGTCAGCCTAGCTCAGCAACCTCAAACTCCTGGGCTCAAGCGATCCTGCTGCCTCAGCCTCCCGAGTAGCTGGGACTATAGGCATGCGCCACCATGCCCGGCTAATTTTCCATATAGTATAGTTGGCCAATTAATTTTCTTTCTATTTATAGTAGAGACGGGGTCTCGCTCTTGCTCAGGCTGGTTTCAAACTCCTGACCTCGAGCAATCCACCCACCTCGGCCTCCCAGAGTGCTAGGATTATAGGCATTAGCCACCGCACCCAGCCTAGACTTTTGTCTTTTTCTTCTTTATACTTCTGTATGGTTTAAAAAATGAATTTGTTTGTTTAAGACAGAGTCTCATTCTGTTGCCCGGGCTAGAGTGCCATGGTGTCAGCCTAGCTCACAGCAACCTCAAACTCCTGACCTCAAGCGATCCTCTAGTCTTAGCCTCCCAGAGTAGTAGGATTACAGATGTGAGCCACTGTGCCTGGCCAAGAATGAATTTTTGATTAAAGAACATTTAATAGAATATTTTAATAGCTGGACTTCAGCTTAACATAAATCTTAGTTCTGTTTGTTCCCAGCTGTGTGACTTTGGCCAAGTCACTTCACCTTTCAGAGCCTGTTATCTTGTCTATAAAATGAGTATGGCAATACCTTTTTCCTATGTTGAGAACCTGGTCTACACAGGTGTGCATGCAGTAGCAGTTTCTATTACAGCTATTTTTAAAATTATTAACAGATAGTACATGTTGATTGGAATTATAGAACAATAGTAACCTCAGAGTGGAGGAGGAAGCAGCTGGTTTGGGGGCTAGAAGCAGGATGTTGGCCAGATCTACCATTCCTCCTCAAGGACTCACTCTGTGTCTGTCAAAGGTGGCTGATTGCATCTGCCTGATGGCCCTAGACAAGCCCCAGGCTGTGCCCGTGGATGTCCACGTGTGGCAGATCGCCCGGCGTGACTATGGCTGGCACCCCACCACGTCCCAGGCGAAGGGCCTGAGCCCCCAGACCAACAAGGAGCTGGGTGAGGAGAAAGATTGGGATGCTGGGGCTGGCGGTGGGCTGAGACGGCAGAAACTTCTCACTCTCATAATCACCTCTCACTCAGACCCTACCTCTGTTCAGAAGAGACCAATTAATTTAACTTCATCACCTCTGATTTAGGAAACTTTTTCCGGAGCCTCTGGGGACCTTATGCTGGCTGGGCCCAAGCGGTGAGTGTACCTAGATTTCCCCTCCTTCTGCAGCCCAGACCCGATAGGACCTCTACACAAGCCCTCACCCAGTGGACTCTTCTAGAAACCCATCACCACGGACTCTGCCATTACCTCCACTGCCCCAGGTGACCCTAAAGAACTTTCCCGCCACCCCAGCTCTAGCCCCAGTAAACTCGTGTTGCCTCTGCTCCCCATGGACCCTTCCATCTACCAACACTGTCACCAGCCCTGACCCTGGTGTCCTCCTCCCCACACAGGTGCTGTTCAGTGCTGACCTACGCCAGTCCCACTGCGCTCAGCAGCCGCCAGCAAAGCGCAGAAAGCGGTCCAAAGGGCCTGAAGGCTAGGTGGGAGGGCACTGGGCAAAGGAATTCTATCCCCTTCATTCATTTCTCCATCCCCATCTAGTCTCATCTTGGAGAGGGCCCTCCCTGCAACTACCTCAGGTGCCAGGCACCCACAAATCAAGCAGTTTGCACAAGATAGGGTGGGGGCTATTTGGAGAGACAGTTATTTATGGTTTTATCTTCTTCCCTTTATTATAAGAAGGAACAATAAAATAGAAACATTTGTATGGAAAATGCACTGAGCAGTGGTAGGGAAGGGGGGTGAGGAGGGGACGGGGCAGGGAAACTCCCGAGTTCAGAGAGGGAAGGGGAGCAGGCTGGCCCCAACCCCTCCGATGCAGGGGTTCCTGACCCTAAATCCAGGGCTCTAGAGCTGGGGGGGCAGTGAGGGGGGCAGTTCTGGGCCCGGCTCCACACAGCAGTCTCGACAGCAGCAGCCAGCTGCCGGCCCTGCATAGAAAGAGAACAGGGTTGGCCGTCGGGGCAGACCCTCCACTCCAGCCTGGCGCCTGTTCGTGGACCACCCGTGCCCTTCTAGAGCGCCACGCTCCTCACCCCCAGCTGCTGGCGTCAGCAGCTCCCCGTGGCTCGCCGTCTGTCCCTGCCCCTCCTGGCTGGTGCCCAGCTGCAGCTTCCTCATGTGCCGTACCACAGCTGTGGCGTTGAAGGCTTGCTGCAGGAAGAGAGGGTGAGAGACTTCTGAGAGAGTGGGAGGTTGTGGGGCTGGCAGTGGGATTCTTACAGCGGTTCTGTTATTTTCATTCAGTGGTTTATCGATTCCCCTAAAACCCTCCAAGCCTCTACAAGGCTTTAAGTTATATTCAGTCACATATATTTACATACACATGCATGCATATATATAAAATATATATATATAAACTTGTATATATAACTAATTCCTTTTCATATGTATAGAAAACGCTATGTAGCATTATATATTAATAACAGGTGCTGCTCTAAGCACTTTACATAATTCTTCACTCTTTGAGGTAGGCACTATTAATATCAACATTTTCAAAGGCAGAAACTGAGGTGCAGAAAGGTTAAGTAACTTGCTCAGGTGTGTGATTCTTTATGCAACATAACCACCTAGATGTTCCAAATATCCTTTCAAATTCACCATATTCAAAACTAAAACTATCTCCTCCCAAAGTTATGTTTCTGCCCTTATGATCACCATCTCAGTGATGGTACCACTGTCTACTCTGTCCCCAACCAGAATCGTGGGGCTGGCCCTCGTTTTTTCCTCCAACATCTATCCCATCGTCGTCACTTCTTGTTGATGTCACCTCCTAGATGACTCCAGGCTCAACAACAGCTCTCTCTTGTTGCTACTGCTCTGGTCCAAGCCAGTCACTGTCTCCTGCCTGCATCTCTGCCATAGCCTCCTCATGGGTCTCCCAGTCTTAATGTCATTTTCTGCATCCTGAGAGCATGTTCTAAAGACCACATTTCTGCTTAATATCTTCCTGGGGCTCTCAGCACCCTCAGAATTAATTCAGTGCTCCACTATGGCATTTAAGGCCCTGAGTGACCTGGCACCTACCTGCTCCTGCTTCTCAGTCCCCTCAGCCCCTCCAGTCCGGCCAGGCTCAGCATTTGTACTTCCCTGAATGCCATGCTCTATCTTGCCCTTGGCCATTTGCACACCTGTTCCCTCTACCTTAGACACTGATCCTCTGTGCCTGGCCCTTTCCCACCCAACTGACAGGTCTGTCAGGTCATCACCACCTTCGTGATCCTTCCTGGACCCCATAGGCTGGACCAGATGCCTCCTGAGGAATTATAGACAGTTTCCTCTAGACTTGGAGGTGAGAGGGAATGTTTGTTGAGTGAATGAATGTGTAAGTAAGCATCCCTGAGCAGTCACTGTGTGCCCAACTTGGTGGTAGTTGCTATGGGAGATGAGCCTTGATGAGGGTGGAGGGGAGTCCTGGGACCCAGGATTAGGGACGTAGGCTCACCTTCCACTTGCTCTTGGCGAAGTTCTTCTTGATCTGCTCACTCACTGACTGGTGGATGTTCTTATCGAGAGCCGTATCTCCTGCAATCCTGCAGTACAGGGATGTGGAGGGTTGCCTGTGAGGGCAGAGGCAGGCCTGGTGGCCCCAGACTCCACCCCAGCCTGCAGCTTGTGGGTGCTCTCACCATGGGTGCTGCAAGGCCTGCTCACAGGTGAACCTCTTCTCTGGATCCTTCTCCATCAAATGCTGGATGAAGTCTTTGGCTGAACCCCCAAGAGAAAAGCAAAGACAGCATGGTAGTGCCTGTGGACACCCCAGGATAGTACCCACATCCCTTAGGTCTGGCCTGGCATCAAAGCAAGACAGGCCAGATCTGTCCATGCACCACCCTGGCCAGCCTGTGCTCTTCCAAACCCAAAGCCACACCCCAAGCCTTCTAGCTCTCTCCTTTCTCTCTTAAGAAAAACGTGATTAATTGACAGTGACTTCATGGGTTTGCCTCTTTTCTTTTTTTTTTTTTTTTTTGACAGTCTCGCTTTGTTGCCCAGGCTAGAGTGAGTGCCGTGGCGTCAGCCTAGCTCACAGCAACCTCAAACTCCTGGGCTCTAGTGATCCTCCTGCCTCAGCCTCCCAAGTAGCTGGGACTACAGGCATGCACCACCATGCCCGGCTAATTTTTTTCTATATATATTAATTGGCCGATTAATTTCTTTCTATTTATAGTAGAGACGGGGTCTCCCTCTTGCTCAGGCTGGTTTCGAACTCCTGACCTCCAGCAATTCGCCCGCCTCGGCCTCCCAGAGTGCTAGGATTATAGGCGTGAGCCACCTCGCCTGGCCGGGTTTGCCTCTTAATAGGGGGCACAAAAGGAGGGATGAAAATGTTCATGGGGATATTTTAGACATTAGGATGTCAGTAGGGAAAAGGTTTTCAAAATACTATGTTTGAAGTCTAACTGAATGAATGCCTACAAGTTTCTCGGATGGAGGGCCAAGCAGAGGGAAGCACCCAGGGTAGGGTGTCTGGTCTAAAGGACAGCTCTTAGTCTGGCGCTGAAGAACGTGACAGAGGAAGAGAGTAGGGAGAGCCCCCCAGAAAGAGATGAGGATGTCACCAAAGGCAGGGCCCAGGGGAAGAAGGCAAGGCCGTAAATACCAGAGTCAGAGATGTCGTCCCAGTAAGGAGAGTCAAACTCATACTCAGCCTTCAAAATCTGTTCAAAGAGTTTGGCATCATTCTCGTCATAGAAGGGGGGGTAGCCGCAGAGCCTGGCGGGGAGAAACTCATCCTCATTTTCACATTCCATGCACCCACTGCCTCTGGGGTGGAGCTATGGGGCAGTCCCAGGAGTCAGGCAGGACCCACGAGGAGTTGCCCCCAACCTTGTAAACTCCACTCCTCTCTGCCTGCTCACTCATGTCTAGCTACACTGGCTTTCTTTCTGTCCCTTGAACATGCCACCATCTTGCCCCCTCCTCAGAGCCTTTGTACTTTCTGTTCCCTCTGCCTGCACCAATCTTCCCGTACTCCTTAAATGTGTGGCTCAGATGTCAGTCACCTCCACAGCAAGCCCTTCCCCGACCCCCCTCCCTGAAATGGCATCATCCCCATCTCCCTATCCCTGCTTGATGTCTCTGCAGCATTTTTTATCAGCTGGCATTATTTTGTAGATCTGTTTACTTGTTGATTGTCTTCTCTATTAGGTCAGCTCCCTGAGGGCCAGCACTTTGGTTTGTTCCCTGCTAAATCCCCAGTGCTTGGGACAGCACCTGAAACATAGTATCTACTGAATGAAGTGATGTTAGTGATTGATTGGTCAATATAACTATGGATGGAAGGAAAGAAGGGATAAGAGGGAGGAAGAGAGGGAAGCAGGGAGAGGGTAACTCTCAGGCCACCTCCTGCCACAGCGGGGTTCTCACTTACAGGATGTAGGCAATGACTCCAATGGACCAGCAATCCACGGCCTTGCTGTAGGGCTTCTGGGCCAAGACTTCAGGGGCTATGGAGGCAAGGGGACATGGTGGTGACAATCTCTGCCCTGTAGCTCCTGGCTCCTCCCCTGCCCATAGCCCCAGCCCAGGGCCCTCCGCACCCACGTATCCTGGGGTCCCACAGGCGGTGGAGAGCACACTGCCTGGGTCCTCCATCTTGGAGAGGCCAAAGTCGGAGATCATGATCTTGGAGTCTTCATCCAGGCTGTAGTACAGCAGGTTCTCTGGCTTGGAGGGTGGGAGGGAGGGGGTAGGCAGTCAGAGATGGCTATAGGTTGGCAGAACCTTCTACCTTCCCAAGCACCCCCTGAGAAACAGTGGACTTTCCAAAAGCCACTGTGGCTTCATGGCTGCCGTCTTGGCTGGAGGCATGAGGAACTCAAGGAAGTTCTCAAGAAGGCCAAAAGTTCCAGAAAGGACATAGGCCAAAGAGGCGTGGGAGGGAATTTTCTGTAAACCTCAGGTGTGTGTTGTGTAGCCCTAAAGAAATTTTTGAGCATCTACTGTGCCAGGCCCTAGGTTTGTGCTTGATTTCATGTCATCCTTACCACGTCCCCACTGGGCCAGTCTGGATAATCCCACTTAACAGATGAGGAAACTGATGCCTTCAGAGGCAAAGTGACATGCCTAAGAACCCACTTAGGGAGTAGCAGGACCAGAGTTCAAACCCAGATCTGTCACCCCAGCACTCTTCTAGACCAGAATGAGATGTACTACAAAACATGAACACCATCACTATCTCAGTGGAGTAGGGACTCGGGGATTTCTGGCTTTCTTCTTCATGCTTTGCTGTCCCATCTGAGTTTTCTACAAAGAGCAAATGGGGACTTTTATTATCAGAAAGACACGGGAGGGGGATGGAAGGGGGTGGCGTGTCGCTTCAGTGGTGTGTGCACTGAAGGTCCTGATTTCCCCACAGTGCAACACAGCAATGCAACAAAATCGCACTTGTTCCCCATGAATATATACAAATAAAAAATAAATGGAGAAAAAAAAGTAGACCAACATTATTTGGATAAAACAACAGCATCGTTCACTTTTGTGTCCCTTTGAGCATCTGAACTGGAATGGCAAGAGGCAATTTAAGGGTTACAAGTCCATTTTGCAGATGGGAAGCTGAGGCTCCCTGAGGGCTGCCCAAGGTTAGACAGCGAGGGGTTCGTAAAGGCCCCATCCCCAGGTGTCCCAGGTCACCACGCTCCCTTGAGCCCCACCTTGAGGTCCCGGTGTACGATGCCCAGGTCATGCAGGTACTTGACAGCATCCAGCACTTGGAAGATGAGGCGGCTGGCATCCCGCTCTGTGTAGAAGCCTTTTTCCACGATGCGGTCGAACAGCTCCCCGCCCGACACCCTGCAGCAGGGCATGGGGCAGTCAGGCCAAAAGAGTGGGGGCAGAGGGAGAGGTGTGAGGAAGGGGCAGAAGTAGGGTCACTTACAGCTGCATGATGAGGTAGAGGTGGCCCCCACTCTCATAGATATCATCCAGGGCTACAATGTTGGGGTGCTTGATCCTGAAAGGAAAAATAAGGTGGTTCAGCCAGGCGTGGTGGTGGCACCTGTAGTCCCAGCTACTCAGGTGGCTAAGGCAGGAGGTTCACTTGAGCCTAGAAATTCAAGGCTGTAGTGTGCTGTGATGGCCATGCCTGTGGATAGCCACTGCACCTCAGCCTGGGCAATGTAGCAAGACCCATTACTTAAAAAAAATGAGATGGTTCAGAACCATAATCACAGCTCATCAGCTACCTCCCAACTGCATGCAAACCTGGGCAGGACAAACCAAGTATCTGGGTCCCAAAGGGAAAAGCTGATTTATTTCTTGGAAGAGCAGAGGGGTAAACGCTGAGCTCTGGCATCACCCAGACTTGGATCCAAATGCTGCCTCTGCTACCCGCTATTTGTAAGTGTAAGTCTTTTTACCTCATAGCACTTTTTTTCTTTTAAGAGACAAGGTCTCCTTTGTTGTCCAGGCTGGAATGCAGTGATAGCCATGGCACAACATAGCCTCGAACTCCTGGGCTCAAGCAATCCTGCTGCCTCAGCCTCCTGAGTAGCTGGGACTAGAGGCGTGCACCACTGTGCCCAGCTGACGTATAACTTCTGTGAGTTTTCTGTTTACATGTTTGTCAGCCTCCCTGACCAGAACATCAGCTCCACAAGTCCAGGGACTTTGTGGAGCTCACCACTGTTCCTCAAGTATCTGGTGCAAAGTAGTGCTCAATACTACTTGTTTAGGTCAGGAGTTCGAAACTAGCCTGAGCAAGAGCGAGTTCCCCGTCTCTACTAAAAATAAAAATTAATTTACCAACTAAAAATATATATATACAAAATGAGCCAGGCATGGGGGTACATGCCTGTAGTCCCAGCTACTCAGGAGGCTGAGGCAGGAGGATTGCTTGAGCCCAGGAGCTGGAGGTTGCTGTGAGCTAGGCAGACGCCACGGCACTCTAGCCCAGGCAACAGAATGAGACTCTGTCTCAAAAAAATAAAAATAATAATAATAGTAATACTTCTTTAAATGAATGTAACCTCCCAAAGCCTCAGTTTCTTCATCTGTAAAGTGAAACCAATGACAGGACATCATCCCTCAAAGAGTTGGGGTGAGGATCACGTGAGATAATGCAGGTAAGGTACCTGGCACAGTACCTGGCAGCACTCAGTAAACACTCAGATTAACCAATAATGGTGATGGATCTTGATAAGGAGGAAAATTCAGCTCTGCCACAAACTTGCTGTGCGACTGTGGGCAAGTTCCTTGTCCTCTCTGGGTCTCATGCCCCCACCCTCAGCCCCTGATAGTGGAAATGATCATTTCTTCCCTGCCCAGGGTGGTTGGGAAGCTCAGGGGGATCCCAGAAGTAAAGATTCCCTATGAGCTTTCCGGCGGGGGCAGGTTTCTATCAGCATGAGCAATTCATAGGCCAGCCAGTTGCTGACTTAGGGGGTCAGCAAACAGGCATTGTTAAACTTGCTGAATGGCACCGATAAGTGGGGAGAGCTTGAGGTATGTCCAGAGGTAACACCAGCTGAGGTGCATAGGTGCAGGCCATGTTCACAGATTGGCCTTGAGACCTGACTGGACAGATGAAAATGTTGTGAACAAGCACTGGCATCTCAGTCACGTGTGTCCTGTGTACGGCTGTCACAGGCACTGGAAATACAGGACCTCTGACGTCCCCACAGCCTGCCAAGTAGAAATTATTATCCCCACTTCACAAACGAGCAGCTTGAGGCTCAGAGAGTTCACATAATCTGTCCAAAGACAGGGAAGGTAGAGGGTGGGAGGGTCAAGGCAGGGTCAGCCGGGGGCAGAAACAGGCTGTAGCGGCGTACTTGTGCAGGACAGCAATCTCGTTCTCCATGCTGCCCTCCTTGCCCTCCAGGGCCTTCTTGGCAATGCATTTGATGGCCACCAGCTTCCGCGTCTGCTTATCTTCTGCCAGGATGACCTCTGAGAAGGCCCCCCTATGGGGAGAGATTCACAAGGTGAGGAACAGGAACCCATTTCCCTCTAGCGTTTCCTCTACCCACTGTAGGTGATGTGCCCACCACCTCTGGATCAAGGGAGGTGGGATGAGCCTGCCCCCAGCACTCATTCACACTTTGGCCGGTCAGAGTGGTCTCTCCCCTGGCCACAGCAGTCGGTCATGCGAGGCAAGCCAGGTTACTGGCACTTTTGAGAATGAGGCATTCTTTCCTGCTCAGCTGGCAGGGCGTAAGCTTGGAGCTAACGGTGATCATCTCTGCTACCCTATTTAGGGAAAGCCTGCTTGAAAATGAAGCCAACACAAAGGAAGTCAGACCTGAGAAATTATTTCCTGATAGTATCATGTGGGGTCCCACATCTAGCCATGCCTGAAGTCTACAGCCTGAACTATGTGCCCAGTTGATTCTTTTTTCTGCTAAAGCCAATTTCAGGCGTGGCTAATTTAAAACCTTTTAGAACTTCAGAAAACCATCAGCATCACCTGGGAACTTTTTAGAAATACAGAATCTCAGGCCCCATCCCAGACTTAGTAAATCAGAATCTACGTTTTAACAAAATGCTCAGGTGATTTGTATGCTCACTGAAGTTTAAGAAGCAGTGCTTTAGAATAGGCTCTCAGAACAGAATAAACTCATTTATGTTAAAGTTCACTGATTAAGGAGGATTTACTGGAGTATTCTTTCCACATCTGTTTGCTTTCCCTGGGAGAATAAGAAGTCATAAGTCATGTCTTATGGTGAAATGGTAATCTCATCACTCATTCCCAGTCTTGCCTCACTCCAATTTGCCCTCCATGCTGTGGCCAGAGTGACAAACCTGAATTGCAAACCTGCCTCAGTCTTAAATGTCTTCCTGTGGGATAATACCCAGCCTTCTCGCCTAGCATTCAAGGCCCTACATGAACTGTCATCTCCGGCATCTTTGTCCGTTCTTCCCTCAGCCTCTGATTTTAAGCTCCACTAAACTCTACCTCTTTCCACGTATACCATGACTCTGAGCCTTTGGTTATGCTATTCCTTCGGCTGGAATGCCCTTCTTCCTCATGGCAAGTGCACACCTACCCATCCTTCAGTCCCCAGCTCCAATGGCCCCTTCTCCAGATACTTTTTCCCCAGGCGGAAGCCACAACTCTCTCTGGGCTCCACAGAGCCCTCATTCCAGACCTTCACTAGAACACAGTGCACACCCTGTTGCTACTTTCTGTGGGTCTGTCTCCCCTACATGTCTGGGATCAGCTTGAGGGGCCGAGACTGGGTTTGAGTTATTTCTGGATTCCTAGCACCAAGAACAGAGCCGTGCCCAGCTTCAGTTCCCAAACCTAGGCCAGAACACCCAGCTCTTGGCAGCAAGTTAGATAACTGGCCCCTTCATTCTCCTCCACTTCCTTCTCTCTGGCAGAAGCCCAGAGCTGTGGGAAGAGCAGCCCTGTCCCACCCACTGGCGGCCAGAAGTGAAAAGCCAAGGCCTGTCTAGGCCGAAGCGAGGCTGCCCCAGGGCCTGGGCTGTGAGAAACAGGAAGCATTGATCAACTGACCAGAGGAAGCACCACCCTGGACTCAGCCTCCCCCCAGCCATCCAGCTCCCAAACCCCCACTCTGAGACTCACGTGCCCAGAACATCTCGGAAGTCATAAATGTCCCTAATGTCCTCCACCTGCTTCCAGCTGGGGCCTTCCACTGCCCCCGGCATGGCCCACTGCCCCCTGGCCACAGCCAGGGCTCCTGGGAAAGGGAATAGAGGGAGGAAGCTCAGTGGGGCCCAGCCTTCTGTCTAGACATTCACTGCAGGCCCCATTCAGTCAGCGAACCTGCATTTTTATTCATCCCTTGACCCATTCATTTGACAAAATCATTCAGCGCACATTCATTCATTCATTCACCAGTCATTTGTTCATTCAACAACACTCATTTTGCAAATGCTTATGCGTAGAGGAAAACCTTCATGGTGGCAGCAAAATTCTTTATCCAATAAAGTCACGCATTCAATCATTCATTTATTCAAGCTCACTTCCCAGTTTCCCCCTCTCCACATCCAAAGACGCAGGAAAACCCTGACCTCTGGCCGTACAACGGATAAAACCCCAGAGCCGCTTGTAGAAGTGCACAGCCCTGGAGGATCCCCCTGTCCCCACATCCAGCAACGTCCCAGCCCCATCCTGAAAACCGCTGGGGTGTCTCCTCTCCCTCCTCCTTTTCCTCCCCACCCGGCCTCTTGGAAATCAGGTTTCCGGCAGCCTGGGCTTCCAGCAATATCTCAGCCACGTTTTTAAATAGCTCTTTCTGCCCTGTTACCACAGCAACAGCAGCCACAGCTGGAGTTCCCCAGGCCTCTCCCTCCTGACTCCCCATCTGGGTCCGGGCAGCCTGAGAATTGGTCCTACCTAGGCTGGTGCCGTCTCATCCTGACCCAGCCCAGCCCAGCCCTTCCCCTGCTGAGGCCTCTGTCTCATTTCTCCCACCGGGCAGGAGAAGCTAGGAGTTCCCCACCCATTTGTCAGATGGAGGATTGAGAGACTGAGATTGGAGATGGGCAGGGCCTGGGTCCAGAGGCCCAAGTGAAACCCAGCTAGGCCTCCAGCTCAACTTGCTGAGGGCAGAGGCCATGGAGGAACTGCCCTCAGCTGGTCCTTCCAATATGAAACCAGGCTGGGGCCCATTCAGAGAACACAGCCTCTCGACCCCAGCCCAGGCCCACAGAAAGTGAGGCCAAAACAGAGCCCAGCATGCTGTGTGACCAAAGGGAGAGCACTTTCCTTGTCTGTTCTCTGTGAGAGAATGAGGGGAAGGTGAGGGACTAGAGTCCCTGGTGTGAGACTCCACTCCTTGCATGGGACCTTGTTCCCAGCAGGCCCTGGCCATACACCCCAGAGGCAGAAATTTCTAGGAAAGGAGACTTGATGATAAGCTCCAGAGGCAGCATCTTTATTTATTTATTTTTTTTGAGACAGTCTCACTCTGTTGCCGGGGCTACAGTGCGGTGGTGTCAGCCTAGCTCACAGCAACCTCCAACTCCTGGGCTCAGTTGATCCTCCTGCCTCAGCCTCCTGAGTAGCTGGGACTATAGGTATGCGCCACGCATGCCCGGATAATTTTTTCTATATACTTTTAGTTGGCCAATTGATTTGTTTCTATTTTTTGTAGAGACTGGGTCTCGCTTTTGCTCAGGCTGGTCTCGAACTCTTGACTTCAGCAATCCTCCCGCCTAGGCCTCCCAGAGTGCTGGGATTACAGGCCTGAACCACCAGGTCCGGCCCAGAGGCAGAGTCTTAATCCCATCTGGAGGCCTGGCCTATGGCACTCCCAAAGTTCCACACCACGGAACCCAAACATGTGCCTCCCAGATCCAGCACGCCTTGCATGACACCTCGCCATACGTGGACACCAGACATCAGCTGCCTGTCCACACGCACACTCCCCAGACGTCCGTCCACACGTCTCCCACCCAGACCCGTCTCCCACCGCAACACACACGTGCACCCGCACCCCGACTGCGAGACGCCCAAGCGCACGTGCACGCACACTCGGACCCCCAGCCTTACACCCTACATCCCCTGCTCCTCCACCCCGCACCCTCGAAGCTCCCACAGTCCAAACCGAGCCCCAACTCCTTGCACATCTAACGGCAGCTGTCCTGGGCACACATTCGCACCCCAGTCCAACTCCGGCCGACTGCCCTTCCGCCCAGCCGGGCGCGCACCACACCTGGACACCCACCTGCAGCACAAGCACCGCGCTGCGCTGTCGCCCTCACACGCCCGGCCACCGCAAGCCCACGTCCCGCCCGCGGCGCCCACGCCCTTCCACGCGCGGCCCCGGTGCACGCGCAGCGCGCGCACGCACACAGGCCCGCGCCGCCCTCCGCGGTGGCCCGCTCGATTTTCCGCGGGCCTGCCCCGCGCACCTGCGCCGCACCTGCTCGCCGGCCCGGCCCTGCCCATCAGGGTCCCGCCCGCCGGGAAGGGCACCCACCCAGTGACCCCTCCTGGGGGACGGTCGCCAGTGGCTGGGGTCCCCGCCGCCCCTGCGCGGCGCCCGGGCGTGGAGTACCTGCGGCTGCCTGGCCGCGAGGCTGGCGGGGAGGCCCGAGGAGGCCGGCGCGGAGCTCTGGCAAGGGCCAGCAACCGCCGCGCGCCCGCCCGACCGCCCGCTCCCCCGGCGCGGCGCCCGCCCGCGGCGCTGACGTCAGCGGGGGCGGAGCCTGGGCGGCCGGGCAGGGCCGCGGGGAACTGCGGCGCGGGTTCGGGCCTGAGAGACACGCTGGTCGCTTTCCGCCCTCGGCCTCCCGCAGGGCTGCATTCCGGCCGAGCGGGCGGCCTAGGAGACCCAGAAAGACGAGGACGGCTTCGAAGTCGGCAGAGCAGGATTCGAACCCGCAGCCGCCCGGCGCCAGATACTGGCTGACTGGCCGGCTCCGCCCCGTCGCCTCGCGGCTTTCCTCTCAGACCCGCTCTGCGGCCCTCGGGCTCCCGCGCTCCGCCCCGCCGCCCTGGCGGAGCCGCGTCCGCTGAGCCGGCGCGGGACGGGCGGGAGCCGGCGACGACACACACGGTCGCGGCGGTCGCTCGTGGGGGTGGGAGCCCCGCTTCACAAGCGGGGAAACTGAGGCCAGGCCGAGCGCGGTGGCTCACGCCTGTAATCCTAGCACTCTGGGAGGCCGAGGTGGGAGGATCGCTCAAGGTCAAGAGTTCGAAACCAGCCTGAGCAAGAGTGAGACCCCCATCTCTACTATAAATAGAAAGAAATTAATTGGCCAACTAATATTTATAGAAAAAATTAGCCGGGCATGGTGGTGCATGCCTGTAGTCCCAGCTACTCGGGAGGCTGAGGCAGGAGGATCGCTTGAGCCCAGGAGTTGGAGGTTGCTGTGAGCTAGGTTGATGCCACGGCACTCACTGTAGCCTGGGCAACAGAGTGAGACTCTGTCTCAAAAAAAAAAAAAAAACTTTGAGAATCTCTTTCCTAGGTAGCAGGGAGCCAGGGGTGGTCTGTGAGCTTTGTCTGTGGCGTATGACCGGAAAGGGACTGAAAGTCTCCTCTGGCGTCTTACGGAAGGCCTCTGAGCGGCCCAGCCTGGGTCAATGCCCCCTTCTTGAAATAATCATTGTAGCTCAAGGGACAGGGTGCTCGACTGGCCAAGCTGGGGTCATGGGCCCACCCTGGTGTGACAGACCGTCTAGAGCCACATGTGTTGAGGAAGGGACGTTTCTCCAACAGGAAAAGAAAGGGGTGCTGAGTGTACAGGAACACAGCTGTCCTCCTCGGTTTTGTTTGGTTTTTCCTGCTAAACCGTCCCAGGGGAATTGCCATCCTTCTTTATAGCTCAGTTCATAGGTCATTTCCTCAGGGAACCTTCCCACAGTAAATCGCAAAGCATCCCATCTTTCAGATGAGTCTGGGAACAATCTAAGTCAGGGACGAGAGCACATTGATTCGTGTTTCCCTTAGGCCACGCGTCCTGCTCAGGCTGTGGAACAGACGCTGGTGGCCTATTAGTGTTCCCTTCCCCTTCCTACGCGGATTTTGCTGGGCTCCACACTCTCTCCCCACTGCCTCAGCGTTGGATGGCAGGAGACTGCACTTCATTAGGGTCCTCCTTTGCCTCGGTCACTGTTTGAGGAGCAGGCATGTGAGATTGAGTCTGAGCCGCTGAAACATAAGGGTATCTGGGAAAGGACTCCTTGTTCTTTTGGGTGGGCCATGGAAGCCAGGTGGCTCCCGCGCTCTCCTGTGCTGGACATAAGTGAGCAGGCACTTGGCCTCAACTACGACTGCTCACCTCTCACGGGTGGAGGGAACCCACCTTAGGCAGAAGCTGACACTGTGGAGGGCAGTGCGGAGACCCCTAAAGAATCTGGATTCTGGCCGGGTGTGGTGGCTCACGCCAGTGAGGACTGAACTCTGATTTTTTTCTTTTGCTAAAAACTCCTTCCTAGGGAGGCCACCTGGGTCAGGCTGACAAACGCTAAATTCCCACTAAGCGGCTTTTGTCAACCAAATGAAGCAGTGGTTTACTTCCCGACCTGATTCTGGTATGGCATTAACATCACCAAAAAGATAAGAAGCCCCTGTCTTAAGTCAAACATCATAGCAGATGCCCATCATAAATTTAAAATGTCTTAACTCAAGCATCCTAGCAGATGCCTATTCTTAAATTTAAAGCATCTTAAAACATCCTAGCAGGCGCGTATTGTAAATTTAAAATGTCCTCCTCTCTGGACCTCCCAGAGTGCCCACAACCTTATCTTAAAAAGCAATCCTTCTGCTTCTAAAAAGTCCTCTCACCAATGCACCAACATTATAACCTATAACTGTAGCCCCCACCCTTCCAGATGTCACCTTTGGGCCAAACCAAGGTAGCCTCTCATGTATGCTTAGATCTTGCCCATAAACCTTTTCTCTGAAAATGAAAAACTGGAACTGTAAGCCGGCCGCGGTGGCTCACGCCTGTATCCCAGCACTCTGGAGGCCGAGCGGCGGATGCTCGAGGTCAAGGGATTTGAAACCACCGAGTGAGTGAAGACCGTCTCAACTATAATAAGAAAGAAATATGGCCAACAATTATATATAGAAAAAATTAGCCGGCATGTGGCGCATGCCTGTAGTCCCCAGCTACTCGGGAGGCTAGCAGAGGATTGCCTGAGCCCAGGAGATTGAGGTTGCTGTGAGCTAGGCTGATGCCATGGCACTCACTCTAGCCTGGGCAACAAAAGCGAGACTCTGTCTCAAAAAAAAAAAAAAACCAAAAAAAAAACTGAACTATAACCCAGCCACAGCCAGCCCAGTTGCCTCAAGGCTTCTGAGAGTGGCTCTGGGTCATGGTCCTCAAATTGGCTCAGAATATATCTCTTTAAAATTATTTTGCAGACTTTGGCTTTTTTCCGTTGACACCTGTAATCCGAGCACTCTGGGAGGCAGAGGGAGGAGGATTGCTCAAGGTCAGGAGGTCGAGACCAGCCTGAGCAAGAGTGAGACCCGTCTCTACTAAAAATAGAAATTAATTGGCCAACTAAAAATATATATATAGAAAAAATTAGCCGGGCATGGTGGCGCATGACCTGTAGTTCCCACTACTCAGGAGGCTGAGGCAGGAGGATGCTTGAGCCAGGATTTGAGTTGCTGTGAGCCAGGCTGATGCCATGGCACTCACTCTAGCCCGGGCAACAGAGTGAGACTCTGTCTCCAAAAAAAAAGCTGACCCTGTTGAATTGCTAGATAGGCCAACCCTGACAGCCACCCTGCCTGGCACTGCAACCCCCTGCCACACTTCCTTATGGACCACTTTTAGGTGGGAGTATTCTGTTGCCTGTGGCCACAAGTCTCCTCAAAAAGTTCTCCTTAAACGAATGCCATGGGTCAGTGGCCACAGGCTGAGAGCCACCAAGTGTGCCCTCCTGAACCTTTGCCACCCACACCGGTTCCTTCCTACCCCACAATAACATTCAAAGACCCTGGATGCTTTTTTTTTTTGAAAAACCACAGCAGTCACTTTACTCTTAAATTTGCACTTTACAAAACCACAAGGGAGAAGTCCTTGAGGGGGAGAGGGGTGTTGGCGTGGGGGTAGGGTGAGGAACGGTAAAGAGGGGGACGAAGGTGACCCAGAAATGAAGACCCCATTCATCTGGGGGACCAAGCACAGACTGGGACCCAGGCTAGCCAAGCAGGACTTCCTGTGTCCTGGCTGTACAGAGCTGGGCCGAAAAGACCTCAGAGGAGGGCCACAGTCCTCTAGAGACTGTCGCCATTTGACGGGCCAAAGCTTCTGATGCCCAAAAGAAGGAAGTGGGCCTCCCCTCCCTTCCTCCAGGCCAGGGAAGGCAGGGCTGAGGGCTACCCATCCAGCAGCTTCAGGATGCTCTCACGCTCCTTCAGAGTCTTCCAGGCCTGGTCCTTTTCCTTCTTGGTGGGAGTCCGCTTCTTCTGCCGGGCAGCCATGATCTTGCGAAAGGCATCCATGACCTCATTGTCTGCCATGCGGACCCGCTGCCTCAGCTCCTGCCGGCTCACCTCCTCCTTTGCCAGCCTGTGGGACCAGCCCGCCAAGTGCCACAGTCAGCCCACCTCCAGCGTGCGGCTCCCTTCCTTCCTCCAGACAGAGCCCACCCACCGTCCCAGGCTGGCACTCCTGTGCACTGTTCCATGTGATCATGACCAAAAAGCAGTGACTGAACCGCACTTACATGGTACTATTTTAAGTTCTTTAAAAATACTAATTCATGTTGATCTTGGGGGAGGTTGTACACATGTAGGGATAGAGTCTATGGGAAATCTCTCTACCATCCTCTCAATTTTGCTGTGAACTTAAAACGGCTTTAATAAAGTCTTAGTGTGCACCTGTAGTCCCAGCTACTCAGGAGGCTGAGGTGGGAGGATCACATGAGCCCAGGAGTTCGAGGCCTGCCTGGGCAACAGACCAAGACCCCATCTCTTAAAAATAAAACAAAAAGTCTTAAAAGTATATACAGCAGCCCCTTCCTTATCCACAGTTTTACTTTCTGTGGATTCAGTTACCCCCATCAACCATGGTCCAAAAATATTACAGTATTTTGAGAGAGAGAGACCATATTCACATAACTTTGACTACAGCATATTGTTATAATTGTTCTATTTTATTAGTTATTCTTAATTTCTTAGTGTATTTAATTTATAAACTTAATCATAGGTATGTATGCACAGAAAAAAACACAGTAGATATAGGGTTCAGGTACCCAGTGGGGTCTTGGAATGTGTCCCTCACAGCTAAGCAGGAACCGCTGTGCGCCTGTGTTCCCACCCCCCTTACTTAATCCTCATAACAACCCTGCTAAGTAGGTACTATTATTCCTATTATACCAGTGAGGAAACTGAGGCTCAAGGACAAGAAATGCTCCGAGATCCCACAACCAGTGAGTGGGAGATCTGGAACAGACTGGCGCCAACTCTCGTTTTTAAACAACATTCCTTAAGGGGTGTTCTGGTGCCAGTGGAAGGGCTGGTCACTGGAATCCATGTCCCAGAGCAACCTACCTGTCCAGACGGCCTGAGCCCACAGGAGGTGGGGGAGGGGGCCACACCCATCCCTCTGCATGGGATCTGGCTCACAGATTTTGTCCCAGTATAGCTGGAAGGTCACTGGAGATCTAGTCCAACCTGCTAATTTTCCAGGAGGAGCAAGTGCTGTTCAGGTGGGGGGGGGCTTTGCTTCAGGCCTGCAGCTGGTCTGCAGCAGGGCTGAGGGCTGGGACACTCTGGCCTTCTGACAGCCCTAGGCTCCTTCCTCACTGCCCATTACTCCCCTCGCTGCACGTCTCGTCCTATTCTCCCTCTCCTTCCCTGGGTGCCTCTATCACTTGTATTTTCCTCCTCTCCCCCTTGAGAGGGAATGTGAACCAGAAAGAGGCTTGGATTCAGCCATTGGCTCGAGTCTCAGTGTGGCTGTTTACTGGGTGTGTGGCTTCACTTCCCAGGGCCTTTGTTTCCTCCTCTGCTAAACAGGGAAAATACAACCCACCCCTGGGTTGTTTTCAGTTTGTTTGTTGTTTTTTTTTTTTGAGACAGAGTCTCACTCTATTGCCTGGGCTAGAGTGCCGTGGTGTCAGCCTCGCTCACAGCAACCTCAGACTCCTGGGCTCAAGCGATCCTCCTGCCTCAGCCTTCCCGAGTGCTAGGATTACAGGCACTCACTGGTCTCCCTTATCCTTAAATACTCCAGCAGCCCGGCAGCAACTACCTCTCCTTTTAACCACTTAGTACCAGCGTTGACTATAGTCGACAGCCACAGATGAATGCGCCAGTGACTTTAGCCTATAGCCGTGATATAACTTTTCTAAGTTTTCATTTATCAAAATAAAATTGTGAACATTTAAACATAACATAAGGCCGGGCGCGGTGGCTCACGCCTGTAATCCTAGCTCTCTGGGAGGCCGAGGCGGGCGGATTGCTCGAGGTCAGGAGTTCGAAACCAGCCTGAGCAAGAGCGAGACCCCGTCTCTACTATAAAATAGAAAGAAATTAATTGGCCAACTGATATATATAGAAAAAAAATTAGCCGGGCATGGTGGCGCATGCCTGTAGTCCCAGCTACTCGGGAGGCTGAGGCAGAAGGATTGCTTGAGCCCAGGAGTTTGAGGTTGCTGTGAGCTAGGCTGACGCCATGGCACTCACTCTAGCCTGGGCAACAAAGCGAGACTCTGTCTCAAAAAATAAATAAATAAATAAATAAATAAATAAATAAACATAACATAATGAAAACATATGTACATGTTACCTATTCTGATTTACATTACAACTAAAGCTGCCTGTAAAGTAAAACAAGCTTTCAGTGCTTTAAAGCTTTCCTTGTCACACAAGAGCAAAACGGATTTGTTGTCAATGCACAGCACAGACTTCCATGTGGACTGTGAGTGCCAGTGTGGGCGAGGTTTTGCGGCCGGTGAGTGCTGTACGGAAATGGTTAATGGTGCGTGTCATTCCTGATCCTCTACGAGTAGTCTGCAAGTCCCATGCTCTGCCTCTCCTCCCAGCCGCCAGCGCAATGTCTGAGAGACCACAGAGTTGGCCAAATGAATGAGTGTGTCCTGCCCTGTCGGGGCTCTGGGAAGCCGAGACAGGCACCTGCCCGTGAGAGAAGCAAGGTGACTTGCTTGGGTTGCTTCTCTGTCTCCCCAGTGAAATGGCAAAAGAGCAGCTACTCAGCGGTCCACCTCCAGATCCCACCCACACCCTTGTTGCTGCCCATCCAGGACAAGACAGATGGGAGCTGCCATCAAAGGAGTGGCACTGTGACTGATTCCCTAAAATATTGGTCCTAAAACACTGGCCGATTTCTGTTGATGGGCCAGTAAAAATCATAGATCTCCAACAAAACGTTAATAGTTAACCAGTTTAAGTGGGAAATATATTGGTGTTTACTGTATTACCCTTGTAGATTTTCTGGTGTATGGCATTTTTCAAAATAAGCATGAAAAGACTTAAAAGTCAATCACACGACAATGTGAATACAGTTAACACTACTAAATTGCACACTTAAAAATGGCTAAGAGAGGTCACAGACTTGGGGATCATTACAAAAATGGTCAAGAGAGCAAATATTATGGTTTTTTTCACCACAACTGAAAATCAAATCAAATCAAGCACAGGTGCCTGGGCCTCACCTGTAGGACCAGACTCTGAGACCTGACCAGCGGGCTGGGCACTGACGCCAGGTGCTGCAGAGGCCCAGCCCAGCTTCTAAGCCTGTTGTGAAGCACCGGAAGGCGACCAGACCCCCCGCTGGCACGTCCGTGTCCGCTCACTCACCTCAGCAGGTCGTGCTTCTTGGTGCGGTTGTGCGCGCTAAGCGCCTTCAGCTCTGCCTGCCGCTTGCGCAGCTCGGCGAGGACCTCGTCCTCCGAGTCCTCTGCGGGGCGGTCCTCAGACTCCAGCAGGCCCTGGGCGATCAGCTCCTCCTTGATGCGGCTCTCCAGGGACTTTGTGTGAGGCACACTGGGGGGAGGCAGGCCCCTCAGCGCAAGAGCCGGCGTGGGGGGGTCCCCCAGAGCTTCCCAGGGTCTCCCAGAGTTAGTGGACACTAACCTTTCCCTCAGGGGCGCCCATCTGTCTATCCAGATATAGAAGCAGTGAGAGATGGACTTATCTGGTATGTTTTTTAAAAACAAGCAATATGTATCTATTGTCCAAAAAATACAAAGAAACCCATAATGCCAACAACCCAGAGAGAATCACTATTATTTTGTGATGTGTTACTATTATTTCATAATATTATTTTCCAGATCTTGTTATATATTATTGCCAATCTTTTGCTATGTTAGTCCAGGTTTTCTCCCCTATGTACAGACTTAAATATATTTTAAGTAAAAACAGAATCATACTTTCTATACTGAGCTACAACTGACATTTTCCCCATTTGGCACCCTGTTGTTTACATCTTTTCGTGCCAATTAAGTATGTTTCTCCAACGTGATAAATAATTGCAAGTTATTTCATTACATGGAGTTGTATGCCAATTTAGCCAACTAATCCCCTTCAGCTGGACATGTAGGTTACTTACAGCACGAACAGAGCTGTAACGAACAGCCCTGCGCTAAGTCTGTTCGAGAACTTCTACTGGGCGTTACCAAGCTGCCCTCAGCCTGTCAATGCAGACCTCCCACGCCAACGCCGACAGAAGCCAACAGAAGCGAGGGAGCGACAGTCAGGCGTGGCACTGTTGCACTCACCTGAAGGGTTTGTTCTGATTGCGGGGGGAGGTGCTCGCCCCGTCAGCCCCCGATTCTTTCCCAGACATGTCAGGAATAGGAGAGTCCTCCATAGGGGAGATAATATTCTCCTGGAAGACCAAAGAAACGGGTGGAGGGAAAGAGTAGTAGTATTTCCATTTTCCTGCTCCTCTCTGACCTGCATGGACAGTCTTCACAGACCAGAAGTATCTTGTTATCTTTTCTATCCCACCTCCTCCGGGAAGCCTTCCCAAACTGAACCAAACTGCTCTGATCATTCTAGAAATACCTTTTTTTGGGTACTGATAGCAAAAGAAAGGACACAGAAGAGCAATGATGATGAGAACAGCCAAGGTGTGAAGCACCTGCAGTGCACCAGGCGCTGTGCTAAGTCTGCCGTGGCAGAGGCTGTTAGCTGTCCAATCACCATGCTCTCCTTTCTTCCACAGTAGCTGGGCTATGTCTACCTAGCTACACTGTATTTCCCAGGCTCCCTTAGTCAGGTATGGTCATGTGACAAATTCTCTCCAGGGGAAATTGATCAGAAGAGACAGCCATAGCTAGTCACAGCCCCAAAAGCTTCCTTCATACACTTCTCCTTGCTCTTATTCTGTGGGGCTGGAGTGGTGATCAAATCCAATGTGACCCTGTGCAGGGTACAAAGCCACCATCATGTAAGGTCCCTCCCTAATGGTATGAGGCAGAGACCTTCCCACCTCCTACCTTAGTCACCCTGGAACATGTGCCCCAGACTATTAAAACAAATTGCAGTGTTTGAGCCAGAAGAGAAAACTGAGGTGAAGGGTGTGTCCAAGTTCAGCCAGCAGGTATAAAGACAGGGACCCTGGCCGGGCGTGGTGGCTCATGCCTGTAATCCTAGCTATCTGGAAGGCCGAGGTGGGCGGATTGCTCAAGGTCAAGAGTTCGAAACCAGCCTGAGCAAGAGCCAAAATAGAAAGAAATTAATTGGCCAACTAATATATCTAGAAAAAAAATTAGCCGGGCATGGTGGCGCATGCCTGTAGTCCCAGCTACTCGGGAGGCTGAGGCAGGAGGATTGCTTGAGCCCAGGAGTTTGAGGTTGCTGTGAGCTAGGTTGATGCCACGGCACTCACTCTAGCCTGGGCAACAAAGCGAGACTCTGTCTCAAAAAAAAAAAAAAAAAAGACAGGGACCCTGAAGCCAGGGTTTGAATCCTGCCTCTATTTATTAGCTGTGTGACCTCAAGCAGAGTTTCCTTTTCTGGGCCAGGCATCATGGCTCATGCCTGTAATCCTAGCATTCTACGAGGCCAAGGTTTGAGCTCAGGAGTTCGAGATCAGCCTGAGCAAGAGTGAGACCCTGTCTCTACTATAAAAAAAATAGAAAGAAATTAACTGGACAACTAATATATCTAGAAAAAAATTAGCCGGGCATGGTGGAGCCTGTCTGTAGTCCCAGCTACTCCGGAGGCTGAGGCAAGAGGATTACCTGAGCCCAGGAGTTTGAGGTTGCTGTGAGCTAGGCTGACGCCATGGCACTCTAGCCCGGGCAACAGAGTGAGACTCTGTCTCAAAAAAGGAGTTCCCTTTTCTTTTCTTTTTTTTTTGAGACAGAGTCTTGCTTTGTTGCCCAGGCTACAGTGAGTGCCCTGGCGTCAGCCTAGCTCACAGCAACCTCAAACTCCTGGACTCAAGCGATCTTCCTGCCTCAGCCTCCTGAGTAGCTGAGACTACAGGCATGTGCCACCATGCCCGGCTCATGTTTTCTATATATATTAGTTGGCCAATTGATTTCTTTCTGTTTATAATAGAGATGGGGGTCTTGCTCTTGCTCAGGCTGGTTTCGAACTCCTGACCTCAAGCAATCCGCCCGCCTTGGCCTCCCAGAGTGCTGGGATTACAGGCGTGAGACACTGCGCTCGGCCCTAGCTCCCTTTTCTGAGCTTCAACCTTCTCTTCTGTAGCACAGGCCTCAGCCCTTAGCCAATACCCAGCAAAAGTAACCAGAGTTTGGCTGGTCCGATAGTAGTAGGTTATCAGAACTTATTAACATTAGTGTCACCAAAGTTGGTATTCAACCTCCCACTGCTAAATTTGACTGGCTTTAAAAAAAAAAAGTAACCAGAGTATTGACTACCTTTGGGGGAGGTCAGAGGCTAGGAAGGGCATGACAGCAGCTTCTAGGATATGGTAATATTTTATTTTGTGATCTTGATGCTGGGAGTACAAGCTCATTTGTGAAAATTTATCAAGTTACAGATTTATGATCTATGTGCTTTTCTAAAGGTATGATATATTCTCATAAAAAATTAACATAAAACATTGAAACGGAAAGTAAATGTGGTTCCTTTTTTAGGGTGGGGTGCTCACCTCCACTAGGGCCTGCAGGAGGCGCTGAGTGAGGGCCCCAAAGGGGCACCCGTCTTCGGGCTGCTCGTGCTGGGCCTCGGACTTCTTCAGCAGCGCGTCCACATCTGCAGCGGGCAGGGAGGAGCAGGACAGGTAGAAGGGAATTCTGGGGCCTCCAGTCCCGGCCTGGGGCGGGCAGGGAGCTGAGGGGCCTACCTTTAGTGTCCAGTTCAGTCAGCGGCCCCATGAGGCCTTTCTTCTTGTCAGCCACGGCCGCTGCTCGGGCCCCATCCTTCTGCTCCTCCAGCAGGTCCTCCTGGGCCCAGCGCTGGGAGTAGTGCTTCCCCAGGGGCGGGATCTGCAGAAGACACGGCACGGCTCCACCGGGGTAAACAATGCCCAGCCACGCCTGGAGTGCTCAGGGCTCTCTGTGCACTTGGGCACTGCCAATAAGCTTTTTTTTTTTTCAAGACAGAGTCTCACTCTGTTGCCTGGGCTAGAGTGCCGTAGCATCAGCCTCGCTCACAGCAACCTCCAACTCCTGGGCTCAAGCAATCCTCCTGCCTCAGCCTCCCGAGTAGCTGGGACTACAGGCACATGCCACCATGCCCAGCTCATTTTTTCTATATATTTTTAGTTGGCCAGTTAATTTCTTTCTCTTTTTAGTAGAGACCGGGTCTCGCTCTTGCTCAGGCTGGTTTCGAACTCCTGACCTTGAGCAAGCCGCCTGCCTTGGCCTCCCAGAGTGCTAGGATTATAGGCATCTGGCCCCAATAAGCTTTTCACTCATTCCCTCATTCATTCATTCATTCACTTCTCCATCTTATCTGTCTCCCCAGTCCTTAGTCCAAGGCCAAGGCCAGTGCAGGTATATGCTAGAAGGGACAAAGGAGATAAAATATCTACATGCACACTGTACCAAGGGAGACAAGCGTGTAAAGAACTAAAACACACACAGAGGCCAATGTAGAACAATTCCAAAGATACAAGGTGCAGAAATCTATACACACATGGCTTAGGTCAGAGATATTGCCTCTAGAGGAATTGTCTTTTGTTTTGCTGGGAGTTTACTACTGCCTGTATCCTGTATGAGTTACTTTTTCTTTCTTTCTTTCTTTCTTTCTCTCTCTCTCTCTCTGAGACAGCATCTTGCTCTATCACCCAGGCTGGAGTGCAGTGGTGTGTTCATAGCTCACTGCAGCCTCAAACTCCTGGCCTCAAGTGATCCACCTGCCTTGGCCTCCCAAGGTGCTGGGGTTACAGGTGTAAGCCACCATGCCCAGCCTACTTTTCCAAATAATTTTTTTAAAAATTCAGGTAAGCGTAGCGAAAGAAATAGATCAAGGTGCTATGGAATCATAAATGAGAAATCAACTTTCTGGTGGAGAATCAGAAAAGGTGTTTTGGTGGAAGTTACATGATATCAGGGCCTTGAAGGGTGAGGCAAGTCTGTCAGGAAGAGTTTGCGTGGAGGTCGAGGTCTGAGACTAGCAAGGACCCTGTGGTAGCCTGGCGGAAGGGCAAGGTGCCTGTGGGGGCTGGTCAATGCAGCAGTGAAGAGCGATTAGGCTACGGGAGGGGCGCTGGGGTTGGGCCACCAAGGGCCGAGACACTTGGACTTGATCCTGTGGATAACAGGAGCCAGGGATCTCTAGAGGCCTACAAGCAAGGAGAAGAGTAAGGAGGCTGTTTGGATAAAGGCTGATGAAAACTTGAACCAAAGCAGAGGGGATGCAGATGAGGCAACAAGGGCAGACCTCACTGAAGTAGATGTGATGACTTCACTGAGGCGGCAGTGACACCTGGCTGTGGTCGAGGGGAGGGAGTATAAGGAGAAAGCTGAGGGTCTGAGCACGGATGGATTGCTGGGGCAGACAAAAGGCTGGGCAGGGTGGAGGAAGGAAGGTGACACATGCTTTGGTATCTTTAATCCTGAGACACCTCCGAGCCCTCTTGCTCTCCACCACGTCTATCGAGGCCCAGAGCCTCTACCTTATAATGTTCAGCCTCATCTTCTGGGGGCTTCAGCAGCTCCTCCAGCGTGCGCACCTCCTCGCTGGTGATGTCAGCACAATAGGGCTCCACCGACGCCCAGAACCTGCAAGGGAGAAGCAGATCCTGATCGGACGCCCCTCTGCCCCACCAGCTCCAGACCTGGGTCCCTCTAGAGCCTCTACCACCAGAATCCTGGAGCGCCCCCCGCCCACACTCTCCAGCTCACAACCTATTGGGGGCATCATTCTTGGGGATCCTCGGCACGTCAATCGGGTCATCAGTGAATTCATATTCTTGGATCTTCGGCTGAAGGTTTTTGGATTTGGGCCGCCCTGGGCCAGGGCCTGGCCCATGTCCTGCCTTCCCTTCCAGCTTCTGCTTTTTGGGCTTCCCATGTTTAGGGGGAGCTCCAAGCTCATGGTCTCGACCCAGCTTCAAGAATCGTCGGTCACCTTTCTTATCTTGCCAGTCAGTGAGGATCTGAAATTTACAGAGACTGTCACCAAAGGGGAGAAGGTAAGATAAGGACAACTCTTTCCCCCAGTGAAGAAATTAAGATCTAGAATCCAAGGAGGCACCAAGGTCTTTCCCCATCCCCTTTTATTTAGTAAACTCCCATCGACCCTTCAAAACTCAGCTCCTTTTCAGTATCCTGTCTCTTAAGACTTTAATCGTATACTTATCATCCCATTTACCTATTTGTACTCTGATCCACTTGTGTAACACTCAAGACAGTCACACACTGTTTAGTAGAAGAGTCAAATAAATGATCACACCCCCAGTGCATGTTGGCCCTGTGAAAATATGCTGGTGGTGACTTTTCGGCAAAGGCAAGCAGCCTCCCAGCAAACCTTCATTTCAAATGACACCACAACTGGGAAGCCCTCTCCCCATCAGTCACCTAGCTTCTCAGTTGCTAAAATGCAACTTGTTGTGCCATAGCTCTCCTCAAATAGCTTCCATGGATTCCCAGGCACCACAAGTTAATTCTATTCAACCTTTTAGGTACAGCTGAGCAGGCATTTCCTTCTTCTACAAGTCTCTGGCACTTCCTACCTCCACCGTAGACCCAATTGTATCATTTCATTACAGACCATAAGCTCCCACAGACCAGGAAGCTTATCTTAACCATCTCTATTACGCAGAACCTAGCACAGTGCTTAGCATACAGGGCTCAGGGGAAGTTTACGCAGTGAATAAAAATAGAGTAGTACCAATAAATACCACTTGAAATGCTTGCTTAGTGTCAGACACTGGGCTGGGCTTTGCAAAAATTCTTTTACTCCCCACAAAAGCTCTGAGGTAGGTCCTTTTATTCAGTCCACTTTGCAGATAGGGAAACTGACACTCGGAAATATTACGTAACTTTCTTAAAGTCAGAGCTAAGAAACAGCAATGCTAGCAAGTGCCTAGGCCACGATTCAAATCCAGGCTGCCCCATTCCAGCTCTCTAGTACCCCTAACCATAACATATCACTTGGTATTTACCTGACCTCCCCCTTTCATTAGTTGGCAGGGTCCCTCATGACCAAAATTGTCCTAACTACCTCTCTCTAATGACTAGTACAGGACCCAGAACGCAATGGGGGATAGGGTGTCAATAAAAGCTTAGTGAATTGTAAATCATGTATATTCTTGTATATTTCACATGTAATGTGAGCCCAGTTTGGGTCTCTCTCTTTAGCCATAAGCCTCTGTACCCCAAGGCTACCTCAACAACCCATCCCACAACTTATCACAGCCCATCTCTGGTGATATCCCCTCTCTGGGGTATCACCTGGGTTTCGGCTTCAAGCACGCGCAGGCGCCGGCTGGCAGAGGACAGCAGAGTCTCAAGCTCCAGCTGTAGGGTGTCCAGCTCCTCGATGCCGATGCCGTCATCTTCAGAGCGGGCCAGCACTGCCGTGTAGCGGGGACAGACCTTCAGGTGGTCCACAGACTTGAAGTCGTGGAACTGCAAGGGGCAGTCCTTCAACTCACTCATGGCCCAGGATGGGGGACTCTGTGGAACTAGAGAGGAAAGGGCTGTTGGTGGGGGCTGACAGAGTGGCACGAGAAAGGCCCAAGGGCTTCTTCTCTCCAGACAGCCTCAACAAGGAAGCCAAAGCCCATAGCACGGTTCCTACTCACAGGGCACCTGCTGTCCGCCAAGCTAGGTGCAGAGCACTTTACCAGCTTATCTCACTGAATTCCTCACCCAACTCCATGACCAGGGACCACTGTGATCCCCTTTCTACAGAGGAAGAAACTGAACCTCTGTAAGGGTGGGTACATGCCTAAGCTTCTGAGATGCAATCTGAACCCTGGTCATCTTGAATCCATATCCCAGTCACCATGATACGCCACTATGTTCTGTCCTTCTGACACTTGTCCCTTCTGCTCTACTCCTCTTGGGTTGAGCAAAGCCTTTGAGTCCCAAGCACCCAACTCGTACAACGTTCTCCGCCTCCCAGCCTCCTTGTCTCCAGCCACTCGCCTTTCCCCCTTTCTCTCTGTCCCTGATAGTGGCTTACAACGTGGGCTGGTAACCCAGACGGACCTGGCTGGGTTCAAGCCCAGGTTTAACCATCCTCTGCTTATGTGCCCATGAACATGTTACTTAACCTCTGGGAGTCTCGTTATTTTCTGTAAAATGGAAACAAAAGAAGTCTCAATCTGTTTCCCCACCAAAAAAGTATAACTTGTAAAACGGGGATAACAACAGCACCTACCTCCCTGAGACGTTTTCAGGATTAAGAGATGAAGCCCCGTCAAGAGCCCAGCTCAGTGTCTGGCACAGAAGAAGGGGGACTGGTTGAATGGCTGGCCCGACCCGGGGGTCGCCCCGAATGTCCCGCCTTCAGGGCCCCCGTCCTCTAGGGACACCCTAAGGCGGCCCCCGCCCCCTCTACCTCCTCACTGCGGCCTCCTCCGGCGGCAGGGCCGCGGGAGGGGGCGGGGAGTGCCGGTCGGCCGGAGCAACCGCCCGGGAGCGGGCAGTGGGCAGGCCTCCCGCAGCCGACGCGGGGGCGGGGACACGGCGGGGACCAGGCCACTGTGGGGAGCGGGGGAGGGGAAGGCGCCTCGGCAAACCCGAGGGAGCAGCCGGCCCGGGGGCGGCCGGTAGGCGGGGCCAGAGGGAGGATGCGGGCCCAGGACAGGAAGGAGCAGAAGGCTCCTCCGCCTCGGCTTGCCCTAATTTGGTGCCCAACCGGCGGTGGGGCCGTACCATTGCGCGACTGGGGGGAGCCTTTAAAGAAGGCGACGAGAAGGCCGAAGGCACAAACGAGAGATGCAAGAAAACCTGAAGAAGCCTATCAACTCGTGTTTCAGGAGTTTAAAAATGCTAGAACCATCCAGAAAAGGAAATTTCCTGAGGTTTCGAGTGTTCCTAGGGTATGTCTCCACCCGGACTCGAGACGCAGGTGGTACCTCCCGGAAGTCGGGGCGGAGACTGCGGCTGCGCCGCTCGCGAGAGGGCAGCGGTCGCGCAGCTGGCCACTTCCGCACTTCCGCTTTCCGGCCCAGCCAGCGCCCGAGATGGTGAGGGAGCCGGGCCCCGGGCGGGGACCCCCGGCTGTAGCGTCTCTAGGCTGCGGGTCGGGGGGAGACGCCGCCTTGCCGCGGAGGCCTGGGGCCGGGGGATACCGGGGTCTGTGGGGCACGGAGCGGGCGGGAGGAGGAGGACGGGGCGGGGGCCCGAGGTGGGAAGGGGGCGAGCGGGGGGACTCGCCGGTGAGAAACGGGCCTTAGCGCGGCCCTCCCGTCGGGCCTTCGAGGCAGGCAGGGAACATTCCCGAAGCAGGAAGGGTGCTGGAAGTGGGGCCTTATAGTCTTGTGGGAGCGTCTCATAGTAGGAAGGCACGCAGTAGGCCTGATAGCCGTTTGCGGAGCTGCGGAGGCTTGCAGTCGGGCCGTCTCCCCATCCATAGTCGAGCGTCACTAGATACACCCCTTTGTCCTTCGCTGCCTTTTTGACCCCCCAGTTTTCCAAGGCAGGTGTCCACACTTCCTTATTCCCACTCTTCTCGGCACCTCCATCCTTGCCTCGACATACCCCGCAGAAGGATCTCTTCTGTGTTGCCTCCACTAGGGCCCTTTCCTGGTCAGAACTATATATATAAAAAACCGTGTCTGCCTTGCTGTGTGTAAGCTCTGATACGCACATGCCTCTCTTCCTGCAAATTCTCCTTTTTGAACATGCGGGCATTTCTGGGAGTTGTGCCTTTGGCCTACCACCTCCTTTTCTTCACACTGTCGCTGGTAATGCCTGTCTAGTCGCTGTGTTTTGGTGGCCTTCTGCTTTCTGGTGACTCCTCAGTCTGCCTTCACAGCTCTCTTTCAAACTTCGCCTGGATCTCTCGAAGATGCCCTGGAATTAGACCTCTAGTTCAAAACTCATCTTCCCGTGTGAACTTGCTCTTCCTCCTGTCTTCCATATATTGGCAAACTTTGTGACCTCACAGCTCAGCTAGAAACCTGGTATTTTTTTTTTTTTTTGACTGATGACATGCCTCATTTTTTTTTTAAGTTCTAGTTTTTTGAGTTATTACATGAGACTGTTTTATTCGTGAAACAGCAGATGTCACAAGGCCGGCCACCTAAAATTCAACTTTTTTAGGTTTACTGTCTGATTACTGACCAAGACATGCCTGGCATAGTGCATACTTGTAGTCCCAGCTACTCCAGAAACTGAGGCTGGGAGGCTGCTTGAGCCCAGGAGTTGGGGGATGCAGTGCGCCATTATCACGCCTGTGCATAGCATAGCCATGCACTCCAGCCTGGGCAACGTGGCGAGACTCGGTGTCTTAGAAAAAGTCATGTAACCACTAATATAATCAAGATAAAGAAATTTTCATCACCCCAGCAAGTTCTTTCAAGTCCCTTTGTAATCATTTCTTTACCCTTCTTCCCACCTCAGACAACCACTGATTATTTTTTTCCCTATAGTTTTGCCTTTTCCCGGTTGTCATGTAAATGGAATCCTTCAGTATGTAGGCTTAAAAAGCTGCACTAAAAGTGTGGCTTACCATAATACATTTGCGAGTCATCCGTATTGTATCAGTAGTTTGTGCTTCTTATTGCAGAGTGGTATTTCATTGTATGGATGGACCACAATTTGTTGGGAGTTATTTTTTGATTCAGTTGTCCCCTACATCTAATGTCACTCAACACACCCTGTGATATTCTTTGCTTGTCCCTCTCTGCTTTATGTCTCACTTCCCTCTTCAATCCATTTGCCACAGAGCCACCATGCAGCTGCAGTCACGTAACTTCCTCCTCAGAAAGCCCCAACAGTTCCTTACCACCTTCAAAGAAAAGCTAGACTGAGTAGCCTGGCGTTCAAGAGTCCCTGTGATCTTGCCCCAGCCTACGACTGCAGCCTCATCTGCTGAATCTAAAATGCTTCCTTCCTCTGTGCAGGAACATTGTATTCACCACTACTTATGGAACTCTTGAAGCTCTTTTGTGTTATGCTAACCTTACTTAAGTTAACCTTACAATAAGTAGAGAAAATGAGAAAGACACTGTATATGTTAGGCACTGAGCTAGGTACAGGTTATATAGATGTGAATAAAATAGACATGGTCTGTTGACCATGAAGCTTATAGTTTAGTGAAGGAGCAATCACTCTACAAGAGACAAGGAGGGTGTGTCATTGTGAATTGTAATAAATGCTATGAAGGAGGAAGTCAAGAAAGGCTTCTCTGAGGAAGGAAGAGGCTGTCCCTAATAAACAGATCTGAAGGATGACTTAGGCAGAGAGAGGGGAGAAAATCCTACACATAGATGGTTTAGCGTAGATAGATGTAAAGCCCTGAGGCAAAGAACTTGCCTAATATAAGGAATTGACCAGTGTAGCTAGAAGCTGATCTGTCTACTAGGAATGTCCTTATTCTCCTTTTTTCTCATTGTAAAATCCTCCTAATCCTATTTCCATCTTCAATTCAAAGCCAGTTTCTTTTGCAAATATAAATTACTTGTAAATCTAAATATTTCACATTTTATCCTCCTTTATATCAGTTATTTTCTGTATCTCTTCCACCCTGTTGGGTTATTTGAGGATAGAGATGGTCTTAATCATGTTTGATTTCCCAGCTTGTTTAGTGCCTGGCAAACAGTAAATGTATCTATTTGTTGCCTTAATAGATTGAGGACAATCATTCATTCACCTGTATGCCTCTAGACCAGAGTTTCTCAGCTTCAGTACTGTTGACCTTAGGGGCTGAATAATTCTTTGTTGTGTATGGTAGTATGTTAAGTGGATATTTAACCACTCAATGCTAGTAGCACCTCCCTTCTGCCCATGTCATGACAATAAAAAATGTCCTGACATTACCAAATGTCTCTCGGCAGTCAAAATTGTCCCCTGTTAAGAACCACTGTTCTAGACTTAGACTGAAGGGCAGTCTTGAAAGTGCCTAGTCTGTGGTGTCTGAGAGCTGGGTACCCTTGGTCCCGCCTAGCTCCGTGGGTCCTGGAGTTGGGGGCCAGTGGTGTTGGCGAGGTAGGTTTTGATCTTTCCCACCTCTTGGGTTTTTTCCTGCAGACTGCCACTCTCCGCCCCTATCTGAGTGCCGTACGGGCCACACTGCAGGCTGCCCTCTGCCTGGAGAACTTCTCCTCCCAGGTCGTGGAACGACACAACAAGCCTGAAGTGGAAGTCAGGTAGGAAAAGAAGAGGTCAGTGGTCAGGGTGGGTCTGAGGGGGCAGCACGCAGGGATGCCTGCTGACTAGGTGTCCTGAACTCACATCCTGGAGTTGTCAGGACAGCTCTAGTTGACATTTTGTCTTGCTGCCAGATGAACCGTGGTTCCCAATTTGGAGTTACAAAAATAGGGTCACTGGGTCAGCAGGACAAAACCCAGGGGAGAAGCCAAGACACTCTACACATGATGTGACTTCTCAGAGCAGGGCTGTTTATGAAGTATACTGTGGCATTATTGAACCCACTGGCAGTTTAAGGGGCAATTGGACAATTTAGTCATCTGAGATGCGGTCTTCATGTTTTTCTAATTTAAGGATCAAGGATTTTTTTTTTCTTGCAAGCCTAGACCCTCCTACCCTGTACTCGAAATGTTCCATATTTGGAATGATTTTTCTCTTCTTTATTTTCCATTTCATAAATAAATTATTCTTTTTGCCCTTTAAAGTAAAATCTGGTGGCCGGGTGTGGTGGCTCATGCCTGTAATCCTAGCATTCTGAGAGGGTGAAGTGGGAGGATCACTCAAGGTCAGGAGTTCGAGACCAGCCTGAGCAAGACTGAGACCCCATCTCTACTGAAAATAGAAAGAAATTATCTGAACAACTAAATACATATAAATAAATAAATAAATAAGCAAGCCAGGCATGGTGGCGCATGCCTGTAGTCCCAGCTACTGGGGAGGCTGAGGCAAAGGGATTGCTTGAGCCTAGGAGCTGGAGGTTGCTGTGAGCTAGGCTGATGCCACGGCACTCTAGCCTGGGCAACAGAGCCAGACTCTGTCTCAAAATAAATTAAAAAAATAAAATTTGGCACATACATAATTGAGATAAGCTACGTTACCACATTAAGTGATATCTGGTTTGAATTTTAAAAAATAACGTGAGATGTTAAGATGTCCCGTGCTTAACATACATGATTTCTAGTAGGCGTTTAAAAATGATAACAGCTCACAGATACCACTATTACAGTTGACTATCATTATGGATATCTAGGGATTCAGTGGCATCAGCTTAGGACCTTTGCTACCTCAATAGTAAATAATAGAATCATTTCTGGATTGACAGTTGAAGGAGGCCAAACTATTCCATGTTAGCTTGTCCTTGTCTCTAGGCAGGTGCTCACTCCTCATCCCCTGAATGTATATTAGTTTGCCTGTGTGGGTTGAGTGTCCCTCATCTGAAATGCTTGGGACCAGAAGTGTTTTGGATTTCAGATTTTGGAATATTTGCAAATACTTAACCAGTTGAGCATCCCCAATCCAAAATCCAAAATGCTCCAGTGAGCATTTCCTTTTGAGTGTCATGTTGGCTCTCAAAACACTTTTGGATTTTGGAGCATTTTGGTTTTCGGATTTTTGGCTTAAGGATGTTCAGCCTATAGTTATTAAAATCCGATCTCTTTTGTAAAGCTCCTGTCATGTGCCAGGCACGCTATTAGACACTTGACCCTTTTCGATCTCTCTTAGTCCTCACCAGTGAAATAGGAATCAGTCATTTTACAGATGAGGAAATTGAGATTCCAACAGGGTAACTTGCCCAAGGACAGTAGCAGAGGAGGCTGGATTTCAGAACCTTTTCGCCCCGACTCCAGAGCCTGTGCTCTTTCTGCTGGAGAACACGCTTACTGGCCCCCATCTTGGAGCACCCCTGCTTGTGAGTCTTCTACTCCTTGGACTCTGTGGTCCCAGATAGTGATTCCAGGACCTGCTGTGGGGTTGCCCTGACTGTTCTGTTCATCTGTACTACAGAGGCGTCTGTGACATTTGTGTTTACAGGAGTAGCAAAGAACTCCTGTTACAGCCCGTGACCATCAGCAGAAATGAGAAGGAAAAGGTTCTCATTGAGGGCTCCATCAACTCTGTCCGGGTCAGCATCGCCGTGAAACAGGTGAGTTTGCCACGGAGCAGGCCCAGATTAGGACCTCTCTCCCAAGCCTGGGGTCTCCATCCAGGAGATGAGCATGCCAGATTCAGAGTGCAGGAAACCTGGGCTCTGCTTTCTGACATGTACTCAGGAGATGGTTTGCTAAACTCAGCAGGTCAGTAGAATAAAAAGAAAGAACAACCTCATCTTGGAGGCCTTGCTCTGGATTGGAAGGCAGGAAATGTAGCAGCTGAGGCTGGAGGACCAGTTTAGTGTCAGGTCACAGAACTATTCCTGAGGAATGAGGAGGAAGTCCAGTTCAGAAAGGTAAGCAGTGCCACTACCAGTTTGATAGCCATAGTCTCAGAAACTGAGACTGAGCACTGCGTCTTCTACATTTCCTCAGGCAGTGTTTCACAAATGCCTGTAATTCCCACCACCCCTTAATTTTGTCATACTTATGTGCCCCCCAGGTGGTTATTTATTTAATAGATTTCTTTAAATTGACTGACTTGCTTTTACTTAAATTTGTTCGAAAAGAAACTTTATGCCATAAATGGGAAAACTGCATCACTTGCCACAATAGAGGACAACTCTAAAAAGAAACACAGTAAACACAAAACAATGTCATTAAATTCAGACTGCGGTACTGTTGCCTACAGAAAACTCTAACCCTGGGACTTGCTGTCTTTGTTAAATGGAAGATTAACAAGTGCTGGGAGGTGATGTGGGCATACTAGCATCCAGCTGCTAAATTCTTCCTTGAAAAATACTGAAAGAGGACTGAGAAGGGAGAAACTTTGGGGATTGTTTGATGTTTGGTGTTTATAAAGCAGAGACCACCCAAGGTTATCTCTGATCCCCCAGGTGATACATGATACACACTTTGGGAAACAGGGCCTTGCTCCGTCATGCAGGCTAGAGTGCAGTGACAAGATCATAGCTCACTTTATCTTCGAACTCCTGGACTCAGGCGATCCTCCTACCGCAGGCCTCAAAGTAACTGGGACTGCAGGCACATGCGAGCATGCCCTGCTAATTTTTCTTATTTTTTGTAGAGATAGGGTTTCACTATATTACCACGGTGGCCTCAAGTGATCCTTCTGCCTCAGCCTCCCAAAATGCTGGGGTGGTAGATAGGTGTGAGCTGCCTGGCCTGGCCAACAAGTGTGGTTTTGCAGGAGAGGCAGCTTTGAGTATAGGTGTAGACTCTGAAGGAGTTGATAAAAGACTAGTTTGCCAGAATTACCTCTTTGGAATGGGTGAGGAAAAGATAACAATAATGCCTATTAAGTCAGAGATACCCTAAGGTAGACCCTTCTCTCAGTTGCCAACCAAGTCCCCCACAATTCAAAGGTCAGGCCATGATTGCTCATAATGCCAAACCTCACTGTCTCCAGCAAGCCTGGGGGAAACTGGGGACACAAGTCCAGGCTACTGAGTATTTTTTGCCTAGAGTGTTGGGTTTAGAGCAACCTGTCTCTTTGCTCTCTCTAGGCTGATGAGATTGAGAAGATTTTATGCCACAAGTTCATGCGCTTCATGATGATGCGAGCAGAGAACTTCTTTATCCTTCGAAGGAAACCGGTGGAGGTGAGACCCTGTGATCCATGAGTTAGTTCATAATGCCCAGGATCCTGTCCCTGAGTGGTGTCGGATTGTTTCTGCATCCAGGAATGCTGCTCCTCCAGCTGTAGGGCCTGCACTGCCTGAGTTGAGAGTTGGCCTTTATCTCAGCTGGAGTCGGAGCAGAGGGGATCAAAACCTTAGGAGAGGGAGGCCGGCGTGGTGGCTCACATAATCCTGGCATTCTGGGAGGCCCAGGTGGGCGGATTGCTCGGGGTCAGGAGTTCAAGACCAGCCTGAGTGAGACCTCGTCTCTACTAAAAATAGACAGAAATTAATTGACCAACTAAAAATATATATAGAAAAAATTAGCCCGGCATGTGAGACAGGAGGATTGCTTGAGCCCAGGAGATTGAGGTTGCTGTGAGCTAGGCTGACGCCACGGCACTCACTCTAGCCTGAGCAACAAAGTGAGTCTGTCTCAAAAACAAAAAGAAGCCGGGCGCGATGGCTCACACCTGTAATCCTAGCACTTTGGGAGGCCGAGGCGGGCGGATTGCTCAAGGTCAGGAATTCGAAACCAGCCTGAGTGAGACCCCGTCTCTACCAAAAATAGAAATAAATTAATTGACCAACTAAAAATATATATACAAAGAATTAGCCGGGCATGGTGGCACATGCCTGTAGTCCCAGCTACTCGGGAGGCTGAGGCAGTAGGATCGCTGAGCCCCGGAGTTTGAGGTTGCTGTGAGCCAGGCTGACGCCATGGCACTCACTCTAGCCTGGGCAACAAAGCAAGACTCTGTCTCAAAAAAAAAAAAAAAAAGAAGAAGAAGCTTAGGAGAAGTTGGATCTACTTCAACCATAGAAAAGGCAAAAATGATGAGACACGTTGCTCATCTTCCCAGAGCCTACGGTCTAGCAGCAGAACAAGCACAGCAAATTAGAAATCCTTTCTAAACTCTGCCACCAGCCAAGTCAGTCTCTCGAATCCACAGTTAACTTTGGGTCAGTGTTTGCCTGACTTGAATCCTCTCTACAGACCCCCTGCCACGTCAACATGAAGTACCCCCATGACTGAGCAACTACCATGCAGAGCAGCACACGCCATCATCACACACGTCAGACGTGTTGGCCAAGTTCTCCAAATTCATTCTCCTCTCCTGGTCCTAGATCTGGGAGGACCACCTGAAATAACTAAAGTTGCTCTTCCAACCCTACAGTAGTAAAAGGCCTCAGTCCACCCCTCTCCCTCATCATCTCTTCTCTGGACTACATCTTCCCTGGGTTTTTTTTGTTTTGTTTTTGAGACATAGTCTCACTTTGTTGCCCAGGCTAGAGTGAGTGCCGTGGCGTCAGCCTTGCTCACAGCAACCTCAAACTCCTGGGCTCAAGTAATCCTGCTGCCTCAGCCTCCTGAGTAGCTAAGACTATAGGCATGCACCACCATGCCCGGCTCTTTTTTTCTATATATATTAGTTGGCCAATTAATTTCTTTCTATTTATGGTAGAGACGGAGTCTCGCTCTTGCTCAGGCTGGTTTCGAACCCCTGACCTTGAGCAATCCGCCCACCTCAGCCTCCCAGAGTGCTAGTATTACAGGCGTGAGCCACCATACTCAGCCCTTCCCTGTTGTTTGATTAGATTTTTTGTTTGTTTTTGAGACGTGGTCTTGCTCTGTCACCTGAGGTAGAGTACAGTGGCGTCATCATGGCTCACTGCAACCTGAAGCTCCTGGGCTTAAGCGATTCTCCTGCCTCAGCCTTTCGAGTAGCTGGGACTAGAGCACATGACACCATGCCTGGCTGATTTTTCTGTTTTTATAGAGATGAGGTCTCGCTCTTGGACGCCTGGTCTCAAGTGGTCTTCCTTGCCAAAGTGCTAGGATTACAGGCATGAACCCTGGCACCCAGCCTGGATTTTTCTGTAAAAAAAATGTCAAGTCACTTCACTCATTCTGAATGCAGAACTGTTTGTGCCACAGATAGTCTTCCAGAGATGTCTGATACACAAAAAACTCACAGCTGGGTTCAGTTGCTTGGTTCTAACCTAGACACTACCCAGCCCCACCCACTGTACTCAGGGCAGCTGGGCTGCTGACTGGAAGAGCATGTCGCTTGGAAGAAGATCACAGCCTGCTGGAAGAAGGTGGATGAGTAAAGTAGAGGACTTGGCCAGCTAAGTGTCCCCAGAGCATTAATTGTCTCCTGTTTCTTCTCTTCCACCTCCCTACTGTCTTCCTTCCATAGGGTTATGACATTAGTTTTCTCATCACCAACTTCCACACAGAGCAGATGTACAAACACAAGTTGGTGGACTTTGTGATCCACTTCATGGAGGAGATCGACAAGGAGATCAGTGAGATGAAGCTGTCAGTCAATGCCCGTGCTCGCATTGTGGCCGAGGAGTTCCTCAAGAATGTGAGTAGGAGCCTTCCTGTTTCCTTCTAGAGCCATGGGTCACATTAAGAACTAAGCACCTGGAGGGGAAGTGGGGCCAACAGTGTGTTCACATTCCCTGGGGACTCTAGGGCCCCTAGAACATGGCAGGACAGCCAGGTGCTTTGGAACTAGAAGACCTGAGGTTCGTCTCTGAGAGCCACGGGTCATTTTTCACGTCTAGATGTCTGGAACCTCTTGTAGTCTCTCATAGGGATTTAGAGACTCCTTTCTATAGCTAGAATATCCATAAAGCCCTTCCCTATATGTAGTTCAAATCCCAAGTAAGGCAAATGAAGTCCACACGTAAATTTTCTAGGAATATGGGACACTTAATCGTAGTGTAATTCCACTTCTCAAACAGACTTCAGCATCTGTTTCTCAGTCTTAAAGTCATGGGTTTTTTTAACCTGTTTTCCCTCACTTCCCTGGCTTAAGTCCTCCAGATCCCTCTTAAATTGTGCCTTTCTAACCAAAAAGACTGCAGTCCTCTGAAGAGGAAGAATTGTTTACACTGATGAACCGATGACATAGTTGTTCTTATTTAGATATTCAGGGCATGCCTTCTTTTTCTTTCTTTCTTCCAAACAATCTTTGGTTTGTTGATAAGTTCCACCCAGAGTTGACTGATCCCCAGATGGTAGATCTACTGTTTATTCCTACCAGTACATGCAGACCCGGCCCAGAGGAGCTCAGATTCCTAAAAATGGAAGTGAAACCCGCTTCCCCCGGGGCTTAATTACACCGAGGGTGGCCAGCATGCAAAGCCGTGCTACGCGCACAGAGCAGTGTGGTTGTTCAGCTCACTCAGGCCATGTGGCCAGACTGCCAGGTTTGAATCCAGGCTCTGCTGCCTCTTCGGGCCCGTCACAGAACCTCTCCACTAAGCCTTGGTTTCCCAAGCTGTGAAGTGAGGACCTACTGATTAATGTTTGCTTTTCAGAGTGGTTGAGCATGCACTGAGATTGTGTATGTAAAGTGCAGCACCTGGTATATAGGAAGCTTTCCGTACACTGTAGCGCCACAATCTTGTGGTCAGGGCACTAGGAAGCCTCTGAACTGAACTGAGGGAAAATGGTTCTTGTCCCAGTTTTTTTTTTTTGTTTGTTTGTTTTTTTTTTTTTTTGAGACAGAGTCTCGCTTTGTTGCCCAGGCTAGAGTGAGTGCCATGGCGTCAGCCTAGCTCATAGCAACCTCAAACTCCTGGGCTCAAGTGATCCTCCTGCCTCAGCCTCCCGAGTAGCTGGGACTACAGGCATGCGCCACTATGCCCGGCTCATTTTTTCTATATAAGTTGGCCAATTAATTTCTTTCTATTTATAGTAGAGATAGGGTCTTGCTTTTGCTCAGACTGGTTTTGAACTCCTGACCTTGAGCAATCCGCCCGCCTCAGCCTCCCAGAGTGTTAGGATTACAGGCGTGAGCCACCGCGCCCGGCCTTGTCCCAGTTTAATATTTGGCTCACTCAACAGTCCTTTACTTATTTATGACCATTACATTTTTGGGGGGAGATGAGTCTCTCTCTTGTTGCCGAGGCTAGAGTGCTGTGGTGTAAGCCTAGCTCACAGCAACCTCCAACTCCTGGGCTCAGTTGATCCTCCTACCTCAGCCTCCCGAGTAGCTAGGACTACAGGCATGCGCCACCATGCCCAGCTAATTTTTTCTATATTTTTAGTTGGTTAATTAACTTCTTTCTATGTTTAGTAGAGACGGGGTCTCGCTCTTGCTCAGGCTGGTCTTGAACTCCTGACCTCGAGCAGTCCGCCCTCCAAGGCCTTCCAGATTGCTAGGATTATAGGCGTGAGTCTCCGCACCCAGCCAACAATTACATTTTTATAGGGTTATACAGCTAAAACAGCATGGTCACATTTCCCGTTTAATACTTAAAACAATCTTTGAGTCAGGTATTGTCAACATTTTACAGATAAGTAAACTGGGGCTGTGGAAGGGAAGTCACCTGCCCAAAGTCCCCCAGCCAGGAAGTGGAGGAGCCAGAATGTGGGGCTGGGTTTCCCAACTCAGAGATCTGAGACAGTGCCATAGCATCTGGCAGGGGTCACAGACTAAGGTGTACGCAGAGGTCGGACAGGTGGTGCGTGCGGGTGGCGTGGGTAGGGTGAGGACCTGCCGGGGGCAGGCCTCATGGGACAAGGGTTGCCGCCACATGGCTGCAGCCCGTCGTGGCTTCATCTCCCAACTTCTCATGAGAACCCCCAAACACGGATTTGTATGTGGCATCACCCATGTTTTCAAGGTTGGCTATGAGTTCGTATTTTTTCAGACAGTGTGTGGCCAAACAGTACTCATCTTCGGGCTGGATTCAGCCATGGGGCCGTTGGTTCACAGCCTTTGGTCCATACAGTGTCCGTGTCCGGGACTGTCCTAGACACCAGGGGGGGGATATGTGAGGGCAGAGGACATTTCCAGGGCCTGTCCTGGTTGGAGGCTCACCCGATCCTGGGTCCTTTTCCCCTTGGCCCTCTGAGGCCCTAAGCCACTTGCCTGCGAGCCCCCGTGTGTAAAGCAAGCAGCCTCAGTTCTCCAAGCAGGACACTGACAGCTGTATAGCAGCCTCCATGACTCGGCCCAGGGCAGCTGTGGAGAAGCCCTCATCGCCTTACTTTTTCTGCCTTATCTGGCACTAGGTTTGGGGACAGTACTCACAGGCCGCTCCTGAATGCTGGCTGAAGTAGAGCATGACCATAGGGTGTCCTGGGACCCACTCTGCCCCTCAGACCTGAGTACAGTGGCCACTCTCAGATCAGCCCACTTTCCTGGAGCAGGCCCACCAGGACACAGCAGTAATCACCGTGCCCTGCCTCTTGGTTCTTTTCACAGTTCTAAACCATCTGGCTGGATCTCGTGGCGTTCCCCCCACACTCCCCGTGTCTCTGCGAAGGCGTCCTGGAGCAGCGGCGACGGGGAGCTGGGTCGGGTGGGCGTTGGCTGTGGGAGGGGGTGGCAAGCTTGCTGCCTGGGCCAGAAAGCAGCAGTGGACCTGCCCAACGGCCGCACGTGCCTGGTCAGGCTGGCTTCTGATGTTCAGTCCCCTGGGCTGGGACGGATTCTTTTTTTAACGTCTTGAAACTTAAACTCTGTGCTTGTAGGAGACTGTAGCCTTTTTGTCTTTTTTTTATTATTAAACAAACAGCCTCCACCTCCAGTGGCTGTGACTGGTCCCGGTGATTGTACCTTATTGGTCGCTGTGGGTCTGGGCAGGCCTGGAGCCAGAAGGCGACTACCTTTCCTCCCCCGTGTCACCCCAGTATCACCCCAGTCGGGGGAAGGAGGTCCAGACTCCAGTTCCTCTCCCAGGCCTTTGTATTCCCAAGCCTGCTTGGGCCTGGCCTACGTGGTGGGGCCCCTCTGCCAGCTTCCTGAGCTCTGCCTGAAGATGGCCCCCCAGCACCACTTGGGGACAAAGGCTGAATCGGGGACCACTAGTCATGCCTAGGAGCTGGGGCTCCAAAGCCAGGCAACCTCCGGCTGTAGGGCCATTTGGTGCCCTCCCCGCTGAGGGGCCACCTTCGGCCGTGGCCGGCAGTGCAGTGCCCGCACCGCAGGCGGAGAGGTGAGTCCTCCCCGGCACTTCCCGGCCAGGCCCCTCCTCCCTCTCTGGCTCCTCTGCGCCCACGCTCGCTGTCCCTTTTCTGACTCTGCTGGATCCTCCTTCCCCTAATTAAAGTCTCTTCTTGCCCCTTTGGGGCTGCATGAGGTCTGTGCCCTGTGTGTTGTGTGAAAGGAGGGGACAGGGGGCTTTTTCCCGAGACCACATGGCTGGTCCCTGGGCCCAGAGACCTCTCACTACCATCCAGGCACCATCCCTTTCTGAAACTGTCTCTGCCTGTATAGAGTTTTGGTGCTTTTCACATAAGGATCTCATTTGGGCTAAAAGGTAACCTCAGAGAACAAAACAATCCCATTTCATGGATAAGGAAACTGAGGTTCCTAGAGGAGATGTAATCGCTTGCCTCAAATCTCTCAGCCAGTGAGCGAGGGGAGACTTCTGCCTGTGCTAAAACAGTAATCACTAGCCATGTGTGGCTATTTGATCTTCAGTTATTATGATTAAATAAAAAATTCTCAGTCCCATTCAAGTGTTCAGCAGCTACTGGTGACTAGTACCTATCATGTGACAGCACATGTGCAGACATTCCCATCATCGCAGAAAGTTCTGTTGGACAGTGGTAGACCTCCGTTTTACCTTAAAGTGCAAAGAAAAAACAAAACTTGTGTTTGAGTCTTGACCCTTGTTGCTGAACTTGGGCAAGTTGTTTACATTCTCTGCCACAGTTTTTTAAGCAGAGATGTGTCCCGCCACACGCACTGAATGAGCGATAGTTGTTCGTTATTAAATAGCCAGGCATCACGGGCTGTTTGGTAAGTGCCAGTGTGTAGGCATGGGGAATGCTGTCCCTGCCTCGAAAGGACTTGGGGGTCCAGTAAAGGAGTAAGCGTGTAAATAAGGCACTGAAGTGTTTCTTTTGAAACAGTCTGACTCTGCCACCCAGAGTAGAGTGTCGTGGCATCATCACAGCTCACGGCAACCTCAAACTCCTTGGGCTCAAGCGATCCTCCTGCCTCAGCCTCCCGAGTTCCTGGGACTGCAGGTGTGCAACACTGTGCCTGGCAAATAACGTCTATTTTTGGTAGAGACGGGGTCTCTTGCTCAGGCTGGTCTTGAACTCTGACCTCAAGTGATCCTCTGCCTCAGCCTTCCAGAGTGCTAGGATTACAGGCGTGAGCCACTACACCTGACCTGAAGTGTGTCATACTAATTTTACAAGTCTGGGGCCCTGGAGGGGGTATATTTACAGGAGAGGGTGTCAGGAAAAGCTTCAAGAAGGGTTGGCTTTGAGCTGAGCTTTCAAAAGGGATTCCTTCAGCTGGCCAAGGGAGTCTCTTTTGAAGGGGAGGACAAGGTAATGTTAAAGGGAGGAGGGAGGGGGTGGGGGCAGCTTGAACAGCTACCATCCCCTTTATGACATTACCTCTGTGACCTCCCCATCCTGCCTTGCTGAATTAGGTGTCCCTTCCTCTGGGGCACATGGTTATTTCCTAGCTTTGCAGTGAATGTTGGAGGCGCTCATGGTGAGACTGGGTGACTGCTAGGGTATGGCAGCTGGTCGCTCAACAGCCCTCACAGAACAGCACTGCCTGGGTGAGCCAGCCACAACCCTCCTTTGTCACAGATCTGTCCTCCAGGGTCCAAAGTCCCTAAAACCAGAATTGCAGGCCAGTGAGAATAGTCTGCGTGGTTGCCAGTCAGTGGATCCTCTGTTGGGGGCATGCTTTTTTGAGACAGTCACCAGCCAGAGGCAGGTCAGGAAAAGTGGTCTCAGTGGTTGGGGTCCCCCCTTAACTCTAAGATCTACCCGGTGACTTAACAGGTAGGTTCTTCACCCAGGGTACTCTTCCCCATGCTGCCTGAATGGGCACTGCTGGAGTTTGCCTCTCAAAGGGCCCCTGTTTGGTATTTCCACAACCGAAAGGCAACACCTCAGAGTGATAACATGGAGTTGGAGAGCAAGGCTTTGGAGTCAGACCTGGATTCTGGGGCTGCCTCTGCTGTGTGTGCCTTGAGGCACAAGATTGAACATCTTGGAGCCTTATTTGTGTTTTCCTTGTGACTTTTGAGGATAATACTTTGCCGCTGCCTCCAGAAAGGATATTTACAGTCTTGGCCTGGGGGCTGAGCATAAGTGTTCCATTTCATTTCTTCCTCAGTTGACGCAGGTGGTCTGTTTTTCTATTCCAAGTTACTGATGGGGACGTGCGTTGTGCTCTGCACTGCATTGCTGCCCCCTGGCTTTCATACCCACCCCCAAGGGAAGGGCCCTCCCTAGGCCCATCTGCCAGGCTCTGCAGAGCTCACCTGGCCTCACCCGCCTCCAGCCTTTGGCTCCCTGGAAAGGTTCTTAACCTCCTCGGGGCTGTTTTGGAGACCATTTCTGTCTGCCTGGAATACCATACCCTCCCTTCTTCCCCTGGAGACTCCTGACTCATCTATACCATCAGCTTAAATGTCACCTCTTCAGGGAGGACGTCCTTGAAGCCACCTTATCTAAATAAAGTGTATCCCCATGGCTGGGTATAGTGCCTTGCAGCTATAATCCCAGCACTTTGAGGCAGGAGGATTGCTTGGGCCCAGGAGTTTAAGACCAGCCTGGGCAACATAGCAAGACTCTGTCTCTACAAAAAATTAAAAAATTAGCCAGGCATGGTGGTGCACTAGTTGCCAGAGTCCCAGCTACTTGGGAGGTTGAGGCAGGAGGACCGCTTGAGCCCAGGAGTTTGAGGCTGCAGTGAGCACGCCTCTGCACTCCAGTTTTGGCAACAGAGCAAGACACTATCTCTTGCAAAAAAAAAAAGTCTCCCCCTTTCCTGGTTTCAGCTCATGGCTCATTCACTGCCCTTATCATCCCTGTGGCTATTCTATTCCTTTGTTACTGGCTTGTTATTCCCCGCACTGGGCTGTGAGCTCCATGAGGTCAGGGACCACCCGTCATGCCTGTAAACACTGTGGGATGACTCAGGCCCTAAGGCTGTCGGCACAGGAAATGCCGGATAAAGAAGCACGGACATCAGTAATAACGTGGCCCAGGGTTCACTTCCACCTTGAGTGTCCCGCTCATAAAGGGTCTGGGACCTCACAAAGGGCCCTGACCCGGAGTACGGAAAAAACCCTCGCTCCAATGCTCCGAGGCCCACGGCTGTTTCCGAAGCCGCCTATGGCCGTCTTGATCTTGCCCAGGGAATGGTTCCCAAGGCAACAGCAAACAGAGGGCGGGGCCTCGGAACGGAGGGACCTGCTGGGGCTCCGGCCCGGCCCTCCCCGGAGCGGAGGCGCGCTCTGGGGCGCCGGGAGCGCGCGCGGCGAGGGCCGCATGCGGGGCGCCGGCGGGGCGCTGCTGCGGGGCGCTGGGGAGTCGGGTGCCGCGCGCCTGGGCTCGGCCGCCTGGTACGGTCCCGAGGGCCGCCCGCGCTGCAGCTGGCCGCGGAACCCGCGTGCCGGCTCCCCGGCCCCGCGGCCCTGCACGCAGCGCCCCGACGGCCCGCCTCCCGGGAGACTGCCATGGCCCAGGCCCGCCTCCGCCCGGCCGGGGGAGGACCGCGCGACCGTCGCGCGCCGGCCAGCGGGCGCCGCAGGTCCCCGCGCCCCGGGCGCCGCAGGTCCCCGCGCTCTCGTCCCCGCGCTCGCCCCAGCCCCGGACGGGCTCGCCCCGCAGGACGGTGAGCCACGCAGCCCGCCCGCCCCGGCCCGCGGCTGCTCCGCGTACAAGAAGCCTTTGGGGCGGGAGAGGAGCGGCAGAGGGCGGGCGCCCCGTGGTGGGCGGAGGGAGAGGCGTGGGCGTCAGGGCCAGACCCGCTCCCGGGCTGAGCCCCCCCGCGCTGAGCCCCCGGGACTCCCGCGCCCCCAGGCCTGCCGCGCCCTGACTCCCCGCCTCTCTGCAGGTTCCTTTGTCTTCTGGCGGGGATTCTCCAAGGTGTCTCACCACATGGGCCGGCTCCGGAACGCCAGAATCCACGTGGAGAGAGCTGTCAAGGTCGGAGCGGGAGAGGGGGCGGCTGGGCTTGCCCCCGCGTGGCTCCGACCATTTTGTCACATCCTTAAAAAACAAAAAAGCTTGACCCCCACGCCCACCTTCAACTGCCTCCCCATTTTTCACTCCCCCTGCAAGGCCAAATTCCTTGGCAGAATTGCCTGCTCACTGCTCCACTTCTTCACCTAGATCCGCACCTGCGCCCCCTCAGTGCCGGTTCCCTCCCCTTCCCCACTCCCACCGGAAGCCACTCTAGTCCAGGTCACTGGTGACCCCCACAGAGCCACGTCCTTGCCTGTCCCATTCTTGGTTGGGCACCCGGTGTCATTGTACACTGGCGCCCCGCACACCCTTCCCTTGGCTGTCTGACTGCACACGCCTGCTTTTCCTGTCTCTTGCTGGCTGCTGCTTTTCAGTTGCCTTTGAAGGTTCCTTGGACGTTAGTGATTCCCTACATCCCTCCTCACACCTATCTCCTTGGCTCTGAGTCCTGTCAGTGTGCTGTACCCCATGGAGGACCCTAATGGCCCAGCCCTGACTCCACACCCTGCAGGTCTGGCCTCCTACTTGACATCTCCACCCACAGAACTCACAAGCATCTCAAATGCAAGTCTCAAGCCATGCTCTGATTTTCCTGCCCAGACCTGCCATCCTCAGGGCCTTTGCACATGCCCTCCCTCTGCCTGAACCGCCGTTTGCCCAGCAATGTGTGCACACAGCTCCTTTTCAGCCTTCCTTGACCATGTATTTCGAAGTAGTTTGTCTAGTCCCCGTTATGTGTGCAGTTTCTGGAGCTGCCCTGCCTGGATTGAAATCTGTGCTCCTTTAACCACTGTGTGGCCTTGGCAAGCTACTCAACCTCCATATACCTCTGTTTTATAACCAGTAAAGTAGGGGTAACAGTATCTAATAAAACTACATAAGGCTGGGTGTGGTGGCTCACGCCTGTCATCCTAGCATTCTGGGAGGCCGAGGTAGGCAAATAGCTCGAGGTCAGGAGTTCGAAACCAGGCTCAGCAAGAGCGAGACCCTGTCTCTACTAAAAATAGAAAGAAATTAATTGGCCTACTAAAAATATATATACAAAAAATTAGCTGGGCATGGTGGCGCATGCCTGTAGTCCCAGCTACTCGGGAGGCTGAGGCAGGAGGATCGCTTGAGCCTAGGAGTTTGAGGTTGCTGTGAGCGAGGCTGACGCCACAGCACTCTAGCCTGGGGAACAGAGTGAGACTCTTGTCTCAAAAAAACATAAATAAATAAAACTACATATTATTGTTAGTAATGCATGTGAGTGCTCAGCACATAGTAGATTCTCAATAAACAGTAGCTGTTGGCTGGTCCGAAGGTAGTGAGTTATCTCACGTGATTGTTCACAGTCAGTTACAGATTGAACTCCTTATTCTACTACTTTCCCTCTCCTCACTCCTCCACTTGACTAGTCCTTAAAAAAAAAACAGGCCGGGTCTGGTGGCTCACACCTGTAATCCTAGCACTCTGGGAGGCCGAGGCAGGCGGATTGCTCGAGGTCAGGAGTTCGAAACCAGCCTGAGCAAGAGCAAGACCCCGTCTCTACTATAAATAGAAATTAATTGGCCAACTGATATATATAGAAAAAAAATAAACAGTAGCTGTTAGCACTATCATTATTACCATGCATATTTGTCTCTCTACTTGTTTGTAATCTGTTTCTCTTACTGGCACATTAAAATTTCCTGGTGGCAGGGCCCACAGCCGTCTGAGTAGCCCTCACACCCCGTGTCTGTCACTTAGGCGATACTTGTTGAACCAGTAGCCATCTCTCACCTTGCAGCAGAAGAAGATCTTCACTATCCAAGGCCGCTACCCTGTGATCCGCTGCCTCCTGCGCCGCAGGGGCTGGGTGGAGAAGAAGATGGTCCACCACTCAGGCTCCGCCCTGCTGCCACCGCACCAGGACGCCGACGGCTCGGCGGTGGGCGACAGCGACACCACTGAGGATGGTGAGTGAGCGGTCCCCTCCCTGGCCGCAGGCCACCCTCCTGCGTCCCCTCTCCTTCGGTCCCCACTGTCCTAGGGTTGAGGGACCCGTGGGGCAGGGACGGGGCCTCATCGGGCCTGGGCTCTGCAACCACAGAGGACGAAGATGAGGATGAGGAGTTCCGGCCACCGCAGCTCTTCAACTTCGATGGTCTGCTGGAACTCGAGGACCTAGATGGGACACATGCTCTGATGGTGAGGGCCCGGGGCTGGCAGGGGCTGCCCAGTTAGAGGAGGGCACCGGTGTCCATCCAGCCGGGCAACCTCAGACAAGGCCTTTCCTCCTCTTGGCCTCAGTTTCCCTATCTGTAGTAAACCCGACTGCTTCTCTAAAGGCTACCTAGGCCCTCAGAACTCTGCTGGGTCGTATCAGAAGCGGGCACAGCCTCCACACATGGCAGTTCCCCTTTCCAAATAGCCTGGTAGTTCATCTCTTTCCTCTGCCTGTGAAAGGTGGAAGGAAGGGGCCGGGCCCGGTGACTCACACTTGTAATCCTAGTACTCTAGGAGGCTGAGGCGGGAGGATCGCTCAAGGTCAAGAGTTCGAAACCAACCTGAGCAAGAGTGAGACCCCCGTCTCTACTAAAAATAGAAATTAGCTGGCCAACTAAAAATATATAAAGAAAAAAATTAGCCGGGCATGGTGGTGCGTACCTGTAGTCCCAGCCACTCGGGAGGCTGAGGCAGGAGGATTGTTTGAGCCCAGGAGTTGGAGGTTGCTGTGAGCTAGGCTGATGCCACGGCACTCTAGCCCAGGCAACAGAGTGAGACTCTGACTCAAAAAAAATTAATAAAAAATAACCGACATCACCACATGCTGGGCCCTGTTCTAAGGGTTTTTCATGTCAATGCATTTAATTATCACCACAACTCCGTGAAGTAGGGGCCACTGTTGCCTCCATTTCATAGTTGAGGGAACTGAGAAACAGGGAGGCTGAGTGATGTGCCAAGAGTTCACAAGGTTGAGCCATAGAGTCTGACAGTATTCAACCTTTCCTGACATACAGAAATGTCAGGAATTAGTAAGTGGCAGTGCCAAGGTTCAAACCTGTGTCCTCACTTCAGCATGCCTGTACTCCAAGCCAAATGCTCTCTCGTTGACCCCACCTCTCAAACTCCAGCCTCATTTGATGAGGCTGTGTGCTCATCAACTTGGAGTCACTATTCTGCCACTTGGCAAGTCCCTGATGGCCCTGGGCCAGGACAGCCTGTGGCATTCAGCTGTGCAGCTTCATCACTGCTTAGGGACAACCGGCCAGAGGGACACTGAGAGGCAGTCTGTTCTCTGCTCACCAAGCATGTGCCCTAGAGAGCTGTCTCCTCTTGCCTTACACCAAGATGGCGCCAGGGCTAGAGGCCACCTTGGAGGCAGCCTCTCCTTCCTGTTCACCTGCTGTGCTCAGCAGGCCGGGGAGAAGCAGCCTCAGGCCCTGCTGCCCACACTGGCCTCTCTGTCTCTGTCTCCTCCCCACTGCCCAGTCCCGCATGGTTCGGAATGAGACCCCCTACTTCATCTGGACCACCCGGCGGGACGTGCTGGACTGCCGCTTCCTCTCCAAGGACCAGATGATAAACCACTACGCCCGCGCTGGCTCCTTCACCACAAAGGTGGGCTCCCCAGAGGAGTGGGCAGGGAAGCTTCCATCCCCCTGGCCCTCGCGCCGGCAGCCCTACTCCCTGGCATCCTCGTCAGGAATTCTTAGGAGAGGGGAAGGTATACAGTTTGGTGAGACGTGGAGTCTGACGGGCCTGGGTTCAAATCCAGCCCCTACGCGGTATCTGGCACATGTAGACACAATGACTGAAACATGGGCCCCAGGATTCAGATGGAATCTGGAGCTGGAACAAACTCCAGATCCAGTGTCAGTGAGCAAAAGGGCCCTTAGCTCCTAAGCAGAGGATATCTGGCCAGTGGATCCATTTTATCTCCCCTGTTCCCTGGGGTTTTTTTTTTTTTTTTTTTGAGACAGAGTCTTACTTTGTTGTCCAGGCTAGAGTGAGTGCCGTGGCGTCAGCCTAGCTCACAGCAACCTCAAACTCCTGGGCTCGAGTGATCCTTCTGCCTCAGCCTCCCAAGTAGCTGGGACTACAGGCATGCGCCACCATGCCCGGCTAATTTTTTATATATATATATCAGTTGGCCAATTAATTTCTTTCTATTTATAGTAGAGATGGGGTCTTGCTCTTGCTCAGGCTGGTTTCGAACTCCTGACCTTGAGCAATCCGCCCGCCTCGGCCTCCCAAGAGCTAGGATTACAAGCGTGAGCCACAGCGCCCGGCCTTTTTTTGTTTTTTGAGATAGAGTCTCACTCTGTTGCCCGGGCTAGGGCGCCGTAGCGTCAGCCTAGCTCACAGCAACCTCCAACTCCTGGGCTTAAGTGATCCTCCTGCCTCAGCCTCCCAAGTAGCTGGGACTACAGGCATGCACCACCATGCCTGGCTAATTTTTTCTATATATTTTTAGTTGGCCAATTAATTTCTTTCTATTTATAGTAGAGATGGGGTCTTGCTCTTGCTCAAGCTGGTTTCGAACTCCTGACCTTGAGCGATCCTCCCGCCTCAGCCTCCCAGAGTGCTAGGAATACAGGCATGAGCCACCGTGCCCGGCCTTCCTTGGGTTTCTTAGCAAGTGACTTAACCTCTCTGAATCTCATTCCTCATTTAAGTGAGAATACCAGTTAAGGTCTGTCTTCTGGGTTTGTTACAGGGACAAAGGGCTATATAATTGTGACCTGCCATTAGATTATGGGTGCAGACTGGGAAGGCTTCCTGGAGGAGGCAGCTTTTTAAGAATGTGAAAGGGTGGGCGGGAGGGATGTGGGGCATTCTCGGCAGAGTGGGCTGCCCAGGCAAACACATTGGAGATAAACATGAGCAAGACAGGGGCGGGGACAAGGTCTTCCTGAGCTGTTTGCATGTGTGCTGAGTGTGGGGCAGTCGCTTGGAGCTCTCTGGGCAAGTCCCACCTGCCCCTCAGCAGCTGACTCCTTAGGTGGGCCTGTGTCTCAATCTCCGGAATTTGCCATGGTTTGATGAGGCGGATGCCGACTCCTTTTTTCCACGCTGCTACCGCCTGGGTGCTGAGGACGACAAAAAAGCCTTCATAGGTGAGCAGACCCCCAGCCCCGTGCCCAGGCCCCTCGGGCTGAAGGACCAGGCCAAAGCGCTGGCTCACAGCAGAGAGCAACTGGTCTCCTCTCACGCCTTCCTCCGCCCCGGCAGATCTTCTCTCTCCCCACCCTTATCTTTCCCTAGCCTGCCCTCCCTTAGTGAGCCTCCTAGCTTGGTTTGCCCTGACATTCAGAAAAGCTTAGGTAGCTTGGCTTACGTTCTAGAGCAGGTTCTAACGTTTGTTAGTTACTGGAGTTTGGAATCCAGAACAGGTTCCAGGCCCATGTCAAGTTCTGCTGGTTAGATAGGGTTTCAAAAAAGGCTGTAGGCTTTGGATTTCTTTCTTTCTTTCTTTCTTTCTTTTTTTTTTGAGACAGAGTCTCACTCTGTTGCCTGGGCTAGAGTGCCATGGCGTCAGCCTCGCTTACAGCAACCTCAAACTCCTGGGCTCAAGCCATCCTCCTGCTTCAGCCTCCCGAGTAGCTGGGACCACAGGCATGCACCACCATGCCCGGCTAATTTTTTCTATATATTTTTAGTAGGCCAATTAATTTCTTTCTATTTTTAGTAGAGACGGGAGGTCTCTCTCTTGCTCAGGCTAGCCTTGAACTCCTGAGCTGAAGCTTTCCACCCGCCTCGGCCTCCCAGAGTACTAGGATTGATTACAGGCATGAGCCACCGCGCCCAGCCAGCTTTGGGTTTCTAAGGCAGAATAAGCTCCAACTCCAGAATATGTTTGAATTCATAATTGGATGCAGATTTAATGCTAGGTCTAGATTACATTACAAATCTGAAATAAGATTTGGGCCAAGGTCTGGTTCTCAGTCTAAAGTGAGTATCAAAATGGAGATTGGGAATAAGAAATAAATCAGGTAACAGATCCAGGCAAGATTCTAAAGGCAGAACATGAGCCAAGTCAGGTCAGATTTGGGGTCTGGCTCTAAAACTGAAACAAGAGCAAGTTCTAACCCAGTTCTGGAGTCAGAAAAGGTAAAGTCAGGTTCCGGATCAAAAATGGGGCAAGTCATGACCCGGTTCCGGAACCAGAACAGGCCTTGAGCCTAGGGGCTGAGCAGGGTATCCCCTGCCCCGGGAGCAGAGGACTTCTGGCTCACAGCTGCCCGCAACGTTCTCAAGCTGGTGGTGAAGTCTGAGTGGAAGTCATACCCTATCCAGGCAGAAGAGGAAGAGGCCTTGGGTGAGTGCTGTGCTTACCTCCACTCCCCCACCCATTTATCCTCCTACCCATCCACCCTTCCACCCATCTAGTCATCCACCCGCCCACCTCTTCGTCTACACATTATTATCCACATCCATCTGCCTATCTGCCACCCTGCCACCAACCTGTCCATCCATCCACCCACCCATTTCTCCATCCATCCATCTACTCCTCCGTCCATTCACCATCTCCCTACCTGTCCACCAGTGGGAGAGCTCGTTCATCTACCTGACATCAGCTCCTCACCTTCCTACCTATCCATCCACAGGTCCACCTACCCACCAACCTCCTGCCTTTCCATCCATCCCCCTGTCTACTACTTATCCATCCTCCAGTCCATCCGCTCATCCATTCTTCTGACCGAACCACCTACACACCTGTCTTACTATCCATTTGTTAGTCATTCCACCCCCTCACTCAGCCTTCCCGTGGGCCTGGCATGTGGCCAAGCTCCCCAGAGAGGACAGACTGAGAAGACACGTCCATCCCTGCCCGTGACCATCAGGTCTCTGAAGTTGGGGAGCAGTGAAACCAGGCAGTTCACACGTGGCCTGAGGACACCTTGTGCCCGGAGGAGCAGCTGGGAGTGGAGGGGGATGCAGAGGGACCCTCACTATCACTGCCTGGCAGCCCAACCCATTGCTTGCCCTTTTTCCCCCTAGATTTAGCTCCTAGCTCCATGCCCCTCCCCTAGTCCTATAACCCAAGGACCCATCAGCAAGGGATCAGGGAAGGGGCAGCTCCACAGGATGAGGGAAATCCCCGGCTCGTGCAGAGGCGGGCCTCCCATTGCTGACTCCCGGTTGTGTCGCACACAAGGGCGACAGTTTTGTGCCAGGGTCAGGGACACAGGGGCCTGGGTGTGGCCAGAGACCCCACCTTAAGCTCTCATAGTACAGGGCAGGCTGCAGGGGTGCGAGGGCGTCCGCCGTGCATTGGGATTTCCAGAGCATTACGACGTTCAGGGGTGAGTCACAACCGTGGCTGTGCCTCGTGTCCTCCAAGGGGCCAGTTCCCAGTTTACCGTGCGTCAGGGCCTCGCAGTGGCAGTGCTGCACACATGGGTTAGCGCCTCGGTGGGCTGAGGACTGTAGATGCAGTGTTTCCCCGAAAATAAGCCCTACCCATCTAACAAGTCCTAGCAGGATGTCTGAGCATGTGCGCAATAGCTCTACCCCGAAAATCAGCCCTAGTGACGGGCGTGGCTGTGCAGCATCTGCACAACCCATTTGTGTCGTCGAGGAGCGGGAAAGAACACGAGCAGCCCTTCTCATCCGCCCCGTGACAGCTCCAGTGCTCGATAGGAGAGATCGGGGCCAATGGTTCTGAAGGAAACAGAGTCGCAAGACATTCAGGATGACATTTGGGGTTTGGAGAGTGATGATGATGTTCCAGAAGAAGACAACTTCACTGTGTTTGAATCAATGTAGATGGTTGTACCGTCCTTAAAAAAAATAGCACATCCCCTGAAAATAAGCCCTAGAGTGTCTTCTTGAGGAAAAAATCAATATAAGACCCTGTCTTATTTTCGGGGAAACACGGTACATGTCGGATTCGTGGGAGGGGGTCTGGATTTCTGGTGTGTGGACTCAAGAAGCCATGTCCGATTTGTGGGAGGGGGTCCATGCATGACTACCTAAAGCTCCCAGGTGCATTCAAGGCAGGGCCTCAGGTGTGTCAGTGATCCCAGGAGCAGACAGGCTGCAGGTGTGTGCAGGGTGTACAGGTGCCAGGAGGCCTTGGGACATTTATGGCAGAGCCTCAAGTGAGTGACAGGTCCTGGGTCGGTGGGAGCCAAGGGCCAGAGCTAGAGTTGTAGTTGCATTTAGAGCAAAGCCTCAGGCAAGTGACAAATCCCAGGGCAGTAGGGGATCTATCTAGGTCCGTGCTAGGCCGCAGGTGTCTGTTGGGTCAATGACAGGCCTCAGGACAGTGAGGGCTGTGGCATGTGTCAGGTTACCTGGATGTGGGAAGGTGACAGGCCCCTCCCTGTCGCTGCAGGAGACAAGCAGCCCGTGAAACAGGGCAAGAAGCCCACGTCGGTGTCCCCAGAATTTGTGGACGAGGCCCTGTGTGCGTGCGAGGAGCACCTCAGCAACCTGGCCCACATGGACATCGACAGAGACCTGGAGGCCCCGCTGTGCCTGAGCGCCGAGGGCTGGTCCCTCTTCCTGCAGCGCTACTACCAAGTGGTCCAGTGAGTACCTCTGCGGCCGGCCTGGGCGGGAGCAGGTGCTCAGGAAAAGACCCTCTCTGTTGAGTGCAGCCCGCAGCCCCCGCCCCTTCCCCAAGCCTCCCTCTTGTGTGTGCACCGCTGTTCCACTCAGGGGCCCTCGTGACTCCCCCGCCTCCGGGGTGGGCCCAAACTGCCCTTCCCGGTTCTAGGTCTCTGACCTCGTGACCTGTGCCGGGAGGTCGACCTGAGCTCAAGTTCTGGCTCTGCAACTTGCAAGCTTTGTGACCTTGGGCACATCACCCGTCTTTCTGGACTTTTCTCAAACACAACATAGATTTAAAAATAACGTCTGCCTCAAAGATGGGATTGGACAGGATGATGATCTGTATTGTGTGCTCGGCCCAGGCTGGTAGTGTGCACTCTCGAAACAGGAACCTAAGTCGTTTAAACTTTCTCCTGGAGATCGTTGCCCAAAGTACGCTGCATGGGATGCTACTTCCACAGCAAGTTGAGTAGGTTTTGTGAAAAAAAGGCTTTTAGGCCAGGCGTGGTGGCTCACGCCTGTCATCCCAGCACTCTGGGAGGCCGAAGCGGGAGGATCGCTCACGGTCAGGAGTTCAAAACCAGCCTGAGCAAGAGCGTGACCCCGTCTCTACTAAAAACAGAAAGAAATTAATTGGACAACTAATATATATAGAAAAAATGAGCCGGGCATCGTGGCGCATGCCTGTAGTCCCAGCTACTCAGGAGGCTGAGGCAGGAGGATCGCTTGAGCCCAGGAGTTGGAGGTTGCTGTGAGCCAGGCTGACACCACAGCACTCTAGCCCAGCCACAGAGTGAGACTCTGTCTCAAAAAGTAAAAAAAAAAAGATTGACTTTCCACAAAAATACTGGTTTTTTTTTCTTTTTGCTAAAAATATAAAATCATATTATCATATTGAATATGCTTTTTCAAATTGCATGTGCTCTTGCCCTGTGATGTTGTCACAGGGGCCCCTGGGCCCCATCACAGATTTAGTGAGCAGATACTTCATTCCACGGAGCGTGGAAAAGTTCATCAGGACTTAGGTGTGACTGTTCCTGGGAAACCTTGCCAGGTCCCCTCCACCCAGCTCTCCCTGTCCCTGGCACTGCCCTGATGGCTGCCTCCTCATTAAAAGAGAGAGAAATTCTCTCCATGGCCAGAGACATTCAAGAAGCTAAGATGTTGGAGAGAGGTTAGCACCTAGTGGAGGCTTCCTTCCTATTCAGCCAGAAGAAAAGAAATGGGAGAGTTTGGATAAGGCGGCCAGCTGCAGTGCTTTGTGACTTGGGTTAGTTCGGGACATTTTCTGCCGTGTAGAGAACAGGTCCTTCTTTGTCCATGAACCATGAGCCCGTCTGTGCAGCCCTGTTGCCGAGGCAAGCTCCTGCCCAAGTATTTCCTTAGCCAACCATTCACCCATTGAACAAACTTTCAGGGACGCCTGGTAAGTGCCAGGTATAGTGCTTGCAGATGGGAATACAACAGGAAGCGACGACGATGAAAAATGTTTCTGTGCTTATGGAGCTCATGCTCTAGTGGGGGAGGCAGACGATGAGCGAGCGATGCATGTGTCAGGCCGGGGTGACGAAGCCAGGAGAGGTGTGCTCCAGATGGGCCTGAACCCCAGGAAGCACAAGGGTGCGGGAGTCAGGCAGGACACAGCCTGAATTCTGGCAGAGCTGCTCAACGTAATGTGTGGCCTTAGGTACATCCCTTCACTCTCCAGGCTTCAGTTTACCTTTCTCTAAAATGGGACCAGTGACACATCCCCGGCAAAGCCTTTGATAGGCTTTGAGTGACGCTGCGTGGAAAGCCCTGGGCCAGTGCGTGGCACACAGTGGCGACCCATCGTTAGGAGCCGGAATGATTGAATTCGGCCAAAGGCAGTGTTAATGTAACGGAAGGGAGGCAGCAGAGGTGGAGGGCCTGAGTTTTGGGGACGTGTAGTAAATGGAATTTTCTCAGCTTTCCTCATTCCCATTGTCTGGGCAGGTTAGGATTGGGGAGGCAGCTTGTGGGCAGGGGCGGGGGTTTGGGAGGAACGTATTGGGATCTGTAGCGGGGGAGGGCGTAACCAAGGCTGGTTGGACAGGGGCCTTGGGAGGCCTGTGTCTCCCGGCCCTGCCCACCCACTTGCCCCCGTCCCAGCCCTCCCAAGTCCCATCATCTCCGTGCAGCGAGGGGGCAGAACTCCAGCACCGGGATAGCCAGGTCCAGCGCTGTGAGGACCTTCTGCAGCAGCTGCGGGCCGTGGTGCCCCAGATCGACATGGAAGGGGATCGCAACGTCTGGATCGTGAAGCCCGGAGCCAAATCCCGTGGACGAGGTAGGGGTCAGCCCCCGCTTCCTGCACCAGCGCCCCATGGCCTGTTTCCCCTACTAGGGGCCAGAGAGGTGAAGGGCGCAGGCTCCACTGAAACCAGGCTGCATGGATGGGTTCATGAACCCTAGCTCTGCTACTAATGTTCTGTGTGACTTTGAGCAAGTTTTTAATATGCCACCTCTCTGTTTGTTTGTTTTTTTTTTTTTTTTTTTTTTTTTTTTTTTGACAGAGTCTCGCTTTGTTGCCCAGGCTAGAGTGAGTGCCGTGGCGTCAGCCTAGCTCACAGCAACCTCAAACTCCTGGGCTCGAGTGATCCTTCTGCCTCAGCCCCCCGGGTAGCTGGGACTACAGGCATGCGCCACCATGCCCGGCTAATTTTTTTTTATATATATATCAGTTGGCCAATTAATTTCTTTCTATTTATAGTAGAGACGGGGTCTCGCTCTTGCTCAGGCTGGTTTCGAACTCCTGACCTTGAGCAATCCGCCCGCCTCGGCCTCCCAAGAGCTAGGATTACAGGCGTGAGCCACAGCGCCCGGCCTATGCCACCTCTCTGAACCTCAGTCTCCTCGTCCATGAATGGGGACGGCAGCAGTGCCTCCCGTGAGGTGAGGATTAAAGGAAGAGGGCATCTAAAGGCACAACAGTGCCAGCACACAGCGACCGCCCCATACACCCCGCTGCTGTGATGACGATGCAGCCCTCCTCTCCTGCGTCCAGAGTTAGAGTTAATGTTCTGGGCAGGATTAGTGACGCTCATGTGCAGCGAGGTGCTTGTCATCTAAGGACTTTTAGATTTGACCAGTGCATCCTTGTGGGGTGCAGCACAGTGGCTAAGGACACGCAGGCTGGTTCAGATGAGGACAGCAAATGCAGAGTACTCAGATGCTGTGCCTTTACACAGCAACTACTGTATACACGCTATGTTTAGCTGCTATTCTGGCTGCTAGCCAAGTACGAGTGGAATTTAAATAGAAGAGGCAGCAAGCTGGGGCCGTGTCCTGAGAGGCAGAAGACAGATCGCGCCAGCTCTCTCCGCATGCTGCCCTGGATAAGGTCACTCAGGCCCGAGTGGAGCTGCCTCAGCCCAGACACTGTGAGAAGCTCCTCCTCCTAAGGACATCATGTCAAAACCAGCATTGGGGCCGGGCGCGGTGGCTCACGCCTGTCTCCCTGGCACTCTTGGAGGCCGAGGCGGGCAGATTGCTAGAGGTCAGGAGTTCAAAACCAGCCTGAGCAAGAGCGAGACCTTGTCTGTACTATAAATAGAAAGAAATTAATTGGCCAACTAATATATATATAGAAAAACTTAGCCGGGCATGGTGGTGCATGCCTGTAGTCCCAGCTACTCAGGAGGCTGAGGCAGGAGGATTGCTTGAGCCCGGGAGATTGAGGTTGCTGTGAGTGAGGCTGACACCACAGCACTCTAGCCCAGGCAACAGAGTGAGACTGTGTCTCAAAAAAAAAACCAGCATTGGGTTTCTTTTTTTTTTTTTTTAATTTAGAAATAGTTTTATTCCAATTATGAAAATGTTGATTATTTTAAAAAAGGCAAGCAATAGCCACCCTCGATTTCACTAAGAGACAATTATTGTTAACCTTTTGGTGTTTTTTTTCTATACTTTCTTCTATGCATTTGGAGTATGTGTATGTTTATATATGTTTTATTTTAAACAAAAACATAGCCTCCTTTTTTCATTGACTATATCTTTCCATATCAGTTAGTATAACTCATTTCTGTTCCATATGTTTTTTTTGTTTTTTTTTTATTCAGAAATAGGTCAAAAAGTATATATATATGTTTTTTTTGATCATAGATATGGGATATCATTCCATTTCAGTATATCTAGATCTATTTTTTCTTGAGACAGAGTCTTGCTCTGTCTCACTGGGTAGATAGAGTGCATGGCGTGAGCCTAGCTCACAGCAACCTTAAACTCCTGGGCTCAACGAATCCTCCTGCCTCAGCCTCCCGAGTAGCTGGGACTACAAGTGCATGCCATGATCCCTGGCTAATTTTTCTATTTTTAGTAGATACAGGGTCTCACTCTTGCTCAGGCTAGTCTCGAACTCCTGAGCTCAAGCAATCCTGCTACCTTGGCCTCCCAGAGTGCTAGGATTACAGGTGTGAGCCACCGTGCCTAGCCAATCTTTTTTTTTTTTTCTTTCTTTCTGTTTATAACTTCTTATCATAGGCACTTTCAAACATACTTAAAAGTAGAGAGAACAATACAATGAATTTCTATATACTCAGCACCAAATTTTAACATTTCATCTATTTCAGAAACTTAATTGAAATATATATATGATATACTTCATTGAAAAGGATACACATGGCTGCGTGCGGTGGCTCAAGCCTGTAATCCTAGCACTCTGGGAGGCCGAGGCAAGAGGATTGCTTCAGCTCAGGAGTTCGAGACCAGCCTGAGCAAGAGCAAGACCCCGTCTCTACTAAAAAAAAAAAAAAAAATAGAATAAAACAGCCAGTCAACTAAAAATAAAACAAAAAATTAGCCGGGCATGGTGGCACATGCCTGTAGTCCCAGCTACTCGGGAGGCTGAGGCAGGAGTATCACATGAGCCCAGGAGTTTGAGGTTGCTGTGAGCTAGGCTGATGCCACAGCACTCTAGCCCGGACAACAAAGCGAGACTCTGTCTCAAAAAAAAAGAAAAGAAAAGAAAAGAAAGCCAAAAAGAATAGGATACACATCTTGGGTATACAGCTCAATGAATTGGCATAAAGTGAAAACACTCATGGAAACAGCACCTACTGTCAAGAGATAAAACATTACCTGCACCCTAGAGGGCCCCCTCTCATACCTCCTCCCAATATCTACCTCCTCACAATGGTAACTCCTGACTTATATTACCATAGATTGCCTGTTTTTAAATTTTATATAGGCTGGGAGTAGTGACTCATGCCTGTAATCTTAGCACTTTGGGAGGCTGAGACAGGAGGATCACTTGAGCCCGGGAGTTTGAGGTTGCATTGAGCTATGATGACACCACTGCACTCTAGCCTGAGCACCAAAGCAAGGCACTATCTATAATCAATCAGTCAATCACTTTTATATGAAGTACAGCATGTACTCTCTTACCTCATTCTGTTTTACAGCTGCATGGTCTAATCTTGTTTGGATATACTTTCTTGGATTTATCTAATCCTCTTCTGATAGATATTTAGATGGACTCGTTTCTTCATATTTATTTGTTCATTTATTGATTGCTATTACAAGCAACATTATGATGAACATCCTGTGCAGATATCTTTGTGGCCTTTTCCATTTATTTCCTTAGGATAAACTGAAATGAAATTGTTGGGTCAGAGGGCATGAATCTTAATTTTTGACATACAAGGCGTCATGTTCTTGGGAATCCTGGTGACTGATTTGGCTATTTCAAGAAGAGATCTAGTCTAGAAACCAGGCGCAAGTTTTTCTGTGCCATTGGCTGCTTTGGGGCCTAAACAACAAGTATTGAGACTGATTTGTGAGTGTGTGTGTGTCATTTATAACACGATTATGATATTTACTGGCATTAAAATGATACCTTATAAACATAAGATAACCTCAGAATGAGATAAAATTAAAATACGGGCCAGGCGCGGTGGCTCACACCTGTAATCCCAGCACTCTGGGAGGCCGAGGCGGGCGGATTGCTCAAGGTCAGGAGTTCGAAACCAGCCTGAGCAAGAGCGAGACCTCGTCTCTACTATAAATAAAAATTACTTGGCCAACTAATATACATAGAAAAAATTAGCCGGGCATGGTGGTGCATGCCTGTAGTCCCAGCTACTCGGGAGGCTGAGGCAGGAGGATCACTTGAGCCCAGGAGTTTCAGGTTGCTGTGAGCTACACTGACGCCATGGCACTCACTCTAGCCTGGGCAACAAAGTGAGACTCTGTCTCAAAAATAAATAAATAAATAAATAAAATACGATGCCATATTTCACTTAGGAGAATGGCTAAAATAAATAAATAATCAACAGTGTTGAGGTGGCAGAGTAGGCAAAAAAAAAAGTGTTGAGTGGATTGTGGGCAAACAGTCTCACATACTCTCGCTAGGACTGCCAATTGGTAGAACATCTTTGGCAATATAAAATGAAAAATGGACGTAACCTTGGAGCCAGCAATCTATGGCTAGAAATTTATTCTACAAGTAATAATAATGATAGGGGTTAATATTTACAGAATGTTCACCACGTGGCTTTAATTTATACACTCCTGTGGAACCAAGGCACGTGTGGACTGTACATTCTCACATAACCCGGAAGGACACCCACAGGCACCTAGAAGCAGCAGTTAGCTGCCTCTAGAGGAGACATATTTTTTGTTGCATATACTCTTTTGTACTAATTTTTGTTTTGTTTTTGTTTTATGGTGTTAATTATTGGGGGAAGAATAGTATGTGCACGTGCTGTTGCAAAAGCCCAATACTATTTAAATTTCTATCCATGCATATATTCCTTTCAGTCAAACAAAACTAGTTAATTAGAAAAAATGTAAACTCCTTTGCAAATTCCTGGCTTTGCCAAAGGGAACAGGGTTGTTGTGACTGAGGGAAGCAGCCTTACCCGCTTGGCCCTGTCAGTTCTGGGGGGTGAGAGATGATGATGAGCTCCCTGTGGTCCCCCCAGCCCTTCTTCCGGCCTAAGCCTGACCTCCTGACCGCAGACCACCCTCTCCCCTCTTAGGCATCATATGCATGGACCACCTGGAGGAGATGCTGAAGCTGGTGGATGGCAACCCCATGATGATGAAGGACGGCAAGTGGGTGGTGCAGAAGTATATCGAGCGGCCCCTGCTCATCTTTGGCACCAAGTTTGACCTGAGACAGTGGTTCCTTGTGACTGACTGGAACCCACTGACCGTGTGGTTCTACCGAGACAGCTACATCCGGTTCTCCACACAGCCCTTCTCCCTGAAAAACCTGGACAAGTGAGCCCCACCTGGCTTCCCTTGAGCTCCCGGACTGGTGGGGGGTGGGGAGCTGGCAGGCAGTAGCAGTGCAGGGGGCTCAGGCATCAGCGCGGGGCTGCACGCAGACTTTGCAGGCAGGCAGGCCCTTGTCCCGCCCCACTCCATGCTCAGAGTGCGTACCTTCAGCCCTCAGGTGACAGACCTGGGCCCCTCACTGCTCCAGGCACTTGGGATGTTAACAGCGATAACACATGATCCAGCTCTCAGGAGCTCATGTTCTAGCAAGGAGAAATAGACAAGCAATGGGCATGAGGACAATTAACCAATAGGTTAAAAGGTAGTTCACGTTATGGGGAAAAGAAGGAAAGAAAATGTAGAGCAGGGTGAGGGAGATCAGGAGAAATTCAACAGGATGAAGGCAAGACAGGGTATTAACTCAGAGGTGGTGACAAGAAGCCCAGTTGAAGCCTGGGTTCAAGTTCCATCTCTTCACCTTCCAGGTTGTGTGACTTTGGTCAGGTGAAAACCTGGTTTAGCTTCACTTTCCTCATCTTTTTTTTTTTTTTGAGACAGAGTCTTGCTTTGTTGCCCAGGCTAGAGTGAGTACCATGACGTCAGCCTAGCTCACAGCAACCTCAAACTCCCGGGCTCAAGCAATCCTGCTGCCTCAGCCTCCCGAGTAGCTGGGACTACAGACATGCGCCACCATGCCCGGCTAATTTTTTCTATATATATTAGTTGATATATTAATTAATTTCTTTCTATTTATAGTAGAGACGGGGGTCTCGCTCTTGCTCAGGCTGGTTTCGAACTCCTGACCTCGAGCAATCCGCCTGCCTCGGCCTCCCAGAGTGCTAGGATTACAGGCGTGAGCCACCACGCTCAGCCCACACTTTCCTCATCTAAAGCATGGAGGCAATAGTACGAAACTCAGTTATCGCTATTAATTATTGAGTGCTTCATCTGTGATAGGTGCTAAGCCTTTATGTATATTATCTCACTTGTTCTCAAAACACAAAGCCGGGTACGGTGGCTCACGCCTGTAATCCTAACACTTTGGGAGGCCAAGGCAGGAAGATCACTTGAGGCCAGGAGTTTGAGACCAGCCTGAGCAAGAGGAAGACCCCATTTCTACAAAAATGAGAAAAATTAGCCAGGCATGGTGGCGCACACCTATAGTCCCACCTACTCGGGATGCTGAGGCAGGAGGATCATGTGAGCCCAGGAGTTTGAGGTTGCTGTGAGCTATATGACACCACTGCACTCCAGCCCAGTGACAGAGCTGAAACCCTGTCTCCAAAAAAAAAAAAAAAAAAAAGCGGGTACTGTTATGACCCGCATTTTATAGATGTGAGGAGCACGCAGGTTGATGACCTGCCTAAGATCTCTCAACTGGCTGGTTGTAAAGATGGGACTTAATCACCTCTGGTGACTGCAGGGCCATACTCTTACCCAGCATTTATCTCCCAAGCACTGGGAGGGTTAATTATGCACAAAGCTCTTAATACTGTGGCACCTGAGGTTAGGGCCCTGAGACCCATCCTGAGAGATGAGACTGGTTCTGGCCCTAGAAAGACATGGTGAGGCCCAGACCTTGGTCCTTTCTGCCCCCTGTCCAGTGATGCCCCGTCCCAAGTTAAACAGTCCAGGGTTTGCCTGTCCTGCCTGTGTCTGGGTGGGAGGGGCATAGGGGCTGGACCTCAGTTTCCTGCTTCCCACCGCAGCTCAGTGCACCTGTGCAACAACTCCATCCAGAAGCACCTGGAGAACTCGTGCCGTCGGCACCCGCTGCTGCCTCCGGACAACATGTGGTCCAGCCGGAGGTTCCAGGTCCACCTGCAGGAGACGGGGGCCCCAAACGCCTGGTCCACCATCATCGTGCCTGGCATGAAGGCTGCCGTGATCCACGCACTTCAGACCTCCCAGGACACCGTGCAGTGCCGGAAGGCCAGCTTCGAGCTCTACGGCGCTGACTTTGTGTTTGGCGAGGACTTCCGACCCTGGCTGATCGAGATAAATGCCAGCCCCACCATGGCACCTTCCACAGCCGTCACTACCAGGCTGTGTGCTGGCGTGCAAGCTGACACCCTGCGCGTGGTCATTGACCGGAGGCTGGACCGCAATTGTGATACGGGAGCCTTCGAGCTCATCTATAAGCAGGTGAGGGGGTTGGGCCTGGGTAGGACCCCGGGAGTCTGCTCCCCGCAGCAGAGCACAGCACTCTGCAGTCAGGCCCAGTTCAAGACCTGGGTTTAGCCGGGCGTGGTGGCTCATGCCTGTCATCCTAGCACTCTGGGAGGCCGAGGCAGGTGGATTGCTCAAGGTCAGAAGTTTGAAACCAGCCTGAACAAGAGCAAGACCCCGTCTCTACTATGAAAATAGAAAGAAATTAATTGGCCAACTAATATATATAGAAAAAATGAGCCGGGCATGGTGGTGCATGCCTGTAGTCCCAGCTACTCGGGAGGCTGAGGCAACAGGATTGCTTGAGCCCAGGAGTTGGAGGTTGCTGTGAGCTAGGCTGACGCCATGGCACTCACTCTAGCCTGGGCAACAAAGGGAGACTCTGTCTCGAAAAAAAAAGAAAGACCTGAGTTCAAGTCCTGGTCTTGCCAAGGCGATTTCATCGCTTGAGCCTCAGTTTCCTCATTTATAGAATGGAGATAATATTGCCAGCTTTCTCATGGGGTTTGGGAGAATGAGATGAGTTAATACATGTGGACCATATTTCTAGAGAGGCATATAACATAATGTTAAGAACGCAGACTCTGAATCTCCTTGGGTTCAAATCCCTGCTCAATAACTACGTCCTGCATGACTTTGGACAAGTTCCCAACCTCTAGGCAGTCTCAGTTTCCTCATCGTAAGCCAAGAATAAAAATAGGCTGGACACAGTGGCTCACACCTATAATCCTAGCACTCTAGGAGGCTGAGGTGGGGGAGAACTGCTTAAGGCCAGGAGTTTGAGACAAGTCTGAGCAACATAGCAAGACCCCATCTCCACAAAAACATAGAAAAATTAGCCGGGCATGGTGGCGCACACCTGTAGTCCCAGCTACTTGGGAGGCTGAGGCAGGAGGATCACTCGAGCCCAGGAGTTTGAGGTTGCTGTGAGCCAGGCTGACGCCACGGCACTCTGGCCCGGGCAACAGAGTGAGACATAAGGCTGCAAGAATTAAATGAGTTGATGATATAGGTACTTTAGAATAGTGCCTGATACATAGTAAAGGCCACACAAGTTTTAGCTATTGTTATTACCTAGTAAGGTTGTTAGGAGCTTTATGTTAAATAGCAACTCCTGAAAAGTACCTCAATATATAGTAAAAGGCAATTAGTGATGGCTGCTGTCATTATCATCATTATTTTACTCGTCTTATTCCAAAAAGAGAGTTAAGTCTACTTATAGAACAGGATTTTAAAAATTAGTCAGAAAACCAATCTCCAGGGGTTCTGAGCTCTGGAAATTATTTCTTGTGGCAGTTTAATTAAGTGCCTTCTATTAGAGTTCGGATTCTCTCAAGGTTTAGCTACAGGGCGAGAACATGCTAATCGCCATGACTTAAGCAGCCTTGTCTTTGTTGCAGTTACTGATCATATCTTAAATGAATACACTGGCATTTTAGTTTCAAAAATGCAAACAAGGAAATACAAGGGCAGGAAAGTATGGCAAAGGCAAGGGAAAAGGTACCGTCATGGTGCAGTGGTTCCCAAATGCTGGTTCACAGGCCAGAACCACCTGGGAAGCCTTCTGAAGGTCTAGGTGTCAGGGGGCCCCACCCAGAGACTGCCCCAAAATGCCTGGCTTTGGGACTACAGTATATGCATTTTTCAAATGTTGTTTATTGCTGATTTGTTCTCGTTTTTTTGTCTTTTTAGGCCTGCATGGAATCAAGGCTTACACGTTGCATTGGTTTTATTGTTTCTTTCATTTATTTTAATCTAGGTCAGCATTATTGCCTTTCCCCCCCCCCCCCCCCGTAGTTTTGATCTTTTGAAAGGACCAGGGCTGGTGGTTTTGTACGGCTGTCCCACATTCTGAATTTATCTGATTGTTTCCTTGTGGTGTTACTTAACTTGGTCTTCTGTTTTCTGAATGTGTCCCATACACTAGAAGTTAGGTCAAACAGCTTGATGAGGTTCAGGTTAAACACATTAGGCAGGAACACTTCAGAGGTGATGCCAGGCACCTCAAGTGGTGTCATGGAGCACATGCTGTCAGAGCACCTCGTGATGAGGAACGCTACGTTTGGCCATGCATGAAGGTAGTGGTTACCAGATCTCCATTTAAGCTATACACTCCGCTTACTCCCCTTGGCAATTATTATTTTTTTTTAGAGAACAGGGTCTCACTGTGTTGCCCAGGCTAGAGCGCAGTGGTGTCATCATAGCTCACTGCATCCTTGAACTCCTGGGCTCAATCAATCCTCCCACCTCAGCCTCCCAAGTAGCTGGGACTACAGGTGCATGCCACCATGCCCAGCTAATTTTTTCTGTTTTGAGCAGAGGCAGTCTCGTTGTTGTTCCGGCTGGGCTCAAACTCCTGAGCTCAGGCGATCCTCCCACCTTGGCCTCCTCCCTCACACTAGGATTATAGGCGTGAGCCACCACAGCTCACTGCAGTCTCCAACTCCTGGCCTCAAGTAATCCTCCTACCTCAGCCTCCTGAGTGACAGCTGTTTTATTTTAACAAGCTCCACGTGATTCTGATGTTTAGGCAGATTCTAATTGGGACCCTTTAATGACATACAAGGCACTTCAGTCTAGCTCTAGGTTGTCAGCAAGGCACAGGGGACTCCCCTGGAGCCCAGCTACGAGTAGTACAGCTTCGCTTAACAGGAACAGAAAACTGTAAGGGAGTGCCTCTCCTGGACCCTTTTCTCTGCCTCCCTCTGCATATTTGCTACTTCATTCTCTCCACACTGTGTTCTTTAAGCTTCTTAGTTTCTGCTCCCTCATACCTTGGTTTCATATGCGGCTCCAGGCAGGCTCCAAGCCTCCGATCTGTCGGGGTGTCATAACTCAAAGTCTCTGTGCAGAGAACGTGGCTCAGCTGCAGAAGCTGTCTGCCAGTGGTGGCCTGTGAAGTGGAACCGCATACCTCCTCACACCTCCTCGCAGGGCTTGGGGTCGCTAGGAGGGTCCGAGGGCGATGGTGGGGGCGTGGCTAGGTTACCCCTACTCCCTTGGGTTGCCAGTCCCTGGGGCTCTGAGACTCTCGGTTGACACAGGCCCCGAGGGCCAGATCCCTTAGAGGACAGAGGTGGGCTTCCCATTTCTCAGCCCAGAAAATATCCCGTGACAAGATGCCTCAGAAATCGATCCCACCCATCTCTGTCCTGGGTCCTGCTGGGCCAAAGATCCTGGCACCACCGTCTGAGTGGCCTCGTCCCCTCTTCTTGTCCCACAGCCTGCTGTGGAGGTGCCCCAGTACGTGGGCATCCGGCTGCTGGTCGAGGGCTCCACCATCAAGAAGCCCGTAGCGACGTGTCACCGGCGGATGGGGGTCCGTCCAGCGCTCCCTCATCTGCTGGCCCAGCGAGGCTCTGGGGAAGGCAAGGACTCAGGGACCCCTACCCACAGGTCAGCTTCTAGGAATGTTGCTGGAGCCAGGAGCCTGGGGCACAGTGAGAAGCCAGACTCCACTGCCATCACCTCGGCCCCCGGAAAGGGGAAGAAAGGCAAGGCGGAAAGTGCCACAGCCCCAGTTCGCCCCCATCTCTGGAAGTGGGACCCCCCCAGGGCCGGGAGGGGCTGCATTTTCACCATGACCCTTGCTAGTGGGGACAGGCTGCCCTACCCCTCGAACAGATTGCCCCTGGGTCCGAAGAACCCCCAGGCCCTGGGTAAGACCACTCCCCCCAGACACCCTGGCATCCCAAGGCAGTTTCTTCCTGCCGTCCAGGACCCTCCCGGCCACTGGGACTTGCCACCCCACCCGAGAGCTACGAGTAGCAAGTAAAGGCCACTACTCACAAAGTATCCTTTTGAAATACAAAGCCAAATGAGTACTGTTCTCTCCAAGTAGTCGCTCTGTGAGGCAGTTACCTCGAGCCCAGGCTGATCTCTCTCCAGAGCCCAGGCTTGTCCTGCTGCCGTGTTCTGCCTTTGCCTCCAGGCAGAGTCGCCTCTGGGGGAAAGGAACTGGTATTTGGTACAGCACTTAGCAGTTTGCACGGTGCCGGTACCTACTCGCCTCTTTTAGTCCTCATGACAGCCTAGCGAGGTAGGTGTTGTTGTCCCCATTTTCCAGCTGAGGTGTCAGGAAGTTTCAGGAGGCTGCCCGAGGTTGCACAGCTCGAAGGGGCAGAACTGGGAGGCAGACCCAGGTCTGTTGGACGCCGCACCCTGTGCTCATCCCATTGCCTCTGGAGGAGGAACTGGGAGGGCTCCATCTGCCCTCCCCCTTGCCCCCGCCCATCCTCTGCACACACCCTGTGGGGCACCCGGCCATCCTTGGGGCCTCCACGGGCTCTGACAGCCTCCCTTACTCCCACAGCCCCTCACCACCTCCCCAGCCTCCATGCCAAGGCCCGGCTGCTTTCTCCCCGTGCGCCCCGACCCCAGGGGCGGGTCTTCAGACTGCAGCACAGCAAGCTGGTGGGCTCTGAGGCCCTGTCGACCACAGGCAAGGCCTTGATGACGCTACCCACGGCCAAGGTTTTCATTTCCCTCCCACCTAACCTTGATCTCAGGCTGGCACCCAGTATCCAGAAGCAAAGAAAGGTGGGCCTCGAACTATGACTCGCACTCTGGCGGGCTGTGCAGCTGAGCGCTGGGGTCAGGGCTGGAGGGCACCGGCAAGAGGGCAGCTCCCAGGCTGGCTGGCTGGCACCCAAGGGAAGGGCTTGTCTCCCTCAGAACCCCCTTCTTAGATTCCTGATCGTCTCTCCTCCCCTCCTTTCACACCGAGGAGGCCGCCGTTGCTCCCCTGTGCCTTCGAGGCTCCCATCCCGGAAGTGCCTGGTTTCCTCTGTCATTTGAAGTTGGAACTCTTCCTAGCACCCATAGGAAGGTCAAGGCCAGACTCTGCGACAAACCCAAGGCGGAGGCATGCCCCATGAAGAGGCTGAGCTTCCCAGAACCCCTGGCCAGTGCTGATACCTTCCAGAAGCTTGGGGATATGTGGCTAGCAAAGCCCCTGCCCTGACCCCCCACTGCCCCTGTCCCGGAGACAGCATCAAATAAAAAGGAGCGAGTGATGTATTCCAGGCTTGGCCCCACTGCGACTGGAGGGTGAAGTGGGGCCAGGCCCTCCACCCAAGGTCCACTGCCAAGAGCAAGAGGCCACCAGCAGTCTCTACCTAGTGACAGCCAGGGGGCTTCCTGTTCAGGGTCTCCCATAGTACCTCTGATCCCTGGGTGGCAGTGGGAAGGATGAGCCTTTGCTTTATAGATGAGGAAACTTGGAAGAGGACCCCAAGACCACACAGCAGTGAGTAGAAGGCAAGGACATATTGCCAGAAATGCTGACCACTGGAGTTCCCCCAGCCCCAGAAGATGCAGGGGGGCTGGCAGCAGAATGACATCACATATGCATGGGAACCTTTACGCCACGACAGAGGGGAGAGGGTTGACCTTGCCTAAACTCCAGCCCCTCTCCTGAGGGCTGGGCCTGTCACCTACAAAATAGCCAACAAGCCATACCCATGTGGAAAAAAAAGTATGGTACTTCCTGGTTGTAGTGGGTTGAATAGACCTGTCCACCTGTAACCTGTGAATGTGACTTTATTTGGGAAAAGAGTCTTTGCAGATGTGATTAAATTTAAGATCTTGAAATGAGGTCATCCTGGATTATCTGGGTGGGCCCTAAACCCAATGGCAAGCGTCCTTTTAAGAGTCAGAAGAGACAACACAGGCAAGAAGGCCATGTGAAGGTGCCAGCCACAAGCCGGGAGCCACCAGAGACTAGAGAGCATTCTCCCCTATACTTTCAGGGCAAGGCAGTGCTGTCAACACCTTGGTTTTGGACTTCTGGCCTCCAGAACTAAGGATGCGTGTATGCTGTTTGAAGCTACCTAGGCTGTGGTCATTTGCTGTGGCAGCCCTAGGAGACTGAGACACTGGTCAAGCTGAAGACACACATACTCTGATCCAGAAATGCCTGCAAAACTGAACGAAGAAACACACCTGGGCAGGCCCACAGCAGACCTGGGTGACAGACAAATGCCCTCGCTGCCCATTAACCGTGATAAACGATGGCCCGTCAGGACTGGAATTCAGAGTAGGTGACACACAACACAGATGCTTTTCACAATTAGGAGCACGAGCAAATTACAAAAGATACAGCGTGGCTCCACTGATGGAAACTTGGAAAACAGGTGAAATGAAATAGGTATATTGCTTAGGGATTACCTACGTATGTGGTTACAAAAAGGAAAGAATTCTCCCAAGTCAGGCCAGTGGCTCCAACCTAGAATAGTAGAACCCCTTTGGGAACTTTTAAAAATTTGCTGCTGGGCCGGGCCCAGTGGCTCACGCCTGTAATCCTAGCTCTCTGGGAGGCCGAGGCGGGCAGATTGCTCGAGGTCAGGAGTTTGAAACCAACCTGAGCAAGAGCGAGAGCCCGTCTCTACTATAGAAAGAAATGGCCAACTAATATACATAGAAAAAATTAGCCAGGCATGGTAGTGCATGCCTGTAGTCCCAGCTACTTGGGAAGCTGAGGCAGGAGGATCACTTGAGCCCAGGAGTGTGAGGTTGCTGTGAGCTAGGCTGACGCCACGGCACTCTAGCCTGGGCAACAGAATGAGACTCTGTCTCAAAAAAAAAAAAAAAGCTGCCAATGCCAGGGTCTCCCCTCTAGGCCCATTAAACCAGAATCTCTGGGGCACAGAATAACGGAATGGCATGGGGACTTAAGTTTCCTGAAGGCGCTGAGGAGGGGACCCTAATGTGGGGCCCGGGCTAAGAACTGCTGCTCTGCAAGAAAGAAGAGGGGCTTCTATTTCATGACCCAGGTGGGGGCTATATGGGTGTCACTTCATAATTACAGTCAGGCCTCCTAGCCACAGGCTCCATATCCCCAGATTCAACCAACTGCGGATCAGAAATAATAAAATAAAAATAATAAAGGCCGGGCCCAGTGGCTCACGCCTGTAATCTTAGCACTTGGGAGGCCTAGGAGGGCGGACTGCTCAAGGTCAGGTCAAAACCAGCCTGAGCAAGACGAGACACGTCTTATATAAATAGAAAGAAATTAATTGGCCAACTAATATATATAGGAATAATATATATATATAAAAATCAGCCGGGCATGATGGCCCATGCCTGTAGTCCCACCTACTCGGGAGGCTGAGGCAGAAGGATCGCTTCAGCCCAGGAGTTTTGAGGTTGCTGTGAACTAGGCTGATGCCACAGCACTCACTCTAGCTTGGGCAACGAAGCGAGACTGTCTCAAAAAAAAAACAACAAAAAGACAAATTTTAAAATACCGTATAACTATTTATATAACATTTCCATTGCTATAAGGAATCCAGAGACATCTAAAGTCTAGGGGAGGATGTGCCCAGGTTTTACGAAAACACACCATTTCATATGATGACTTGAACATCCATGGATTTTGGCATCCAAGAGGGGTCCTAGAACCAGTCCCCTACAAATACTGAGGGGCAACTCGATTCTTTAAATCACAGGGATGTAGGCCAGGCGTGGTGGCTCACACCTGTAATCCTAGCACTCTGGGAGGCCGGGCGGCAGATCGTCTCGGGTCAGGAGTTCCGCAGCCGACCCAGAGCAAGACCCTGTCTCTACTATATGGAAATTATTGGCCAACTAATATATATAGAAAAAATGAGCCGGGCATGGTGGCACATGCCTGTAGTCCCAGCTACTCGGGAGGCTGAGGCAGAAGGATGGCTTGAGCCCAGGAGTTTGAGGTTGCTGTGAGCTAGGCTGACGCCACGGCACTCACTCTAGCCTGGGCAACAAAGCGAGACTCTGTCTCAAAAAAAAAAAAAAATCACAGAGACGTTTTAGACACTATTTGTGTGTTTGATATATTTCACAATTTTTTAAAGCAAAAGATCAACACCTGCACTTACATAGTCAATTTTACAGAGATAGGAAGTAGAGTGGTAGCTACTAGAGGAAAAGGGGACCTAGTGTTGAATGGGCAGAGTTTCGGTTTTGCAAGACGAAGAGTTCTGCAGATGGATGGTGCTGACTGCACAACAGTGTGAGTTGCCAGGTGTGGTGGCTCCTGCCTATAATCCCAGCTACTGGGGAGGTTGAGGTGGGAGGATTGCTTGAGGCCAAGAGTTTAGGACCAGCCTGAGAAACACAGTGAGACCCTGTCTAAAAAAAGTAAATAAAAATAAAAGACTGCGGCCTGGCACAGTGGCTCACGCCTGTAATCCTAGTACTTTGGGAGGCCAAGGTGGAAGGATTGCTCAAGGTCAGGAGTTCGAGATCAGCCTGAGCAAGAGCGAGACTTCCATCTTTACTAAAAATAGAAAGAAATTAATTGGCCAACTAAAAATATAGAAAAAACTAGCTGAGCATGGTGCCGCATGCCTGTAGTCCCAGCTACTTGGGAGGCTGAGGCAGGAGGATTGCTTGAGCCCAGGAGTTTGAGGTTGCTGTGAGTTAGGCTGACGCACAGCACTCTAGGCTGGGCAACAGAGTGAGACTCTGTCTCAAAAAAAAAAAAAAAAAAATGACTACATATTCAACCCAGCAAAAAGCATGGTCCATGACAAACATTTCCTTGCTTGGCAAATCCTGAAAATCATACCATGAGGTAGGAACTTTTATTATCTCACGTCCAGAGAGGTGAAGTCACTTGCCGAATGCCACACAGCAAGCCAGTGGCCTAAAGAGTTGATCTTAGGTGTGTTTGACCAGAGCCCAGGACCTTAAACCATGGCCTTACTGCATGTAGAGCACTGACCTCCTTCTCTCCTTGGGCCTGGCCACAGCACCCCTTGCTTTTCAGTGGGGGGTCAGGAACAGAGGGGGGCTATTGTTGGCGGAGCCCCAGGCACTGTAGGGTCCTGGAGAAATAAGGGGGCAGAGGTGCCAGGAGCTCGACAGGGGTGTCCTTGGGCCTGGTGCCCGGGAGGAGGAGCCGATGCAGATGGAGGTGCAAGGGCAGCTGGGCAGCCTGGGTGGGGCTCAGGTGGAGGCGTCTGAGGAGAGCGTCAGCCAGGACCTGGAGCGGGAGAGGCAGTCCGTGTGCAGCCACATAAATTCTGAACTGCTGAGTACCCAGCTCTAACAGAAATGGGAGTAAGGCAAGCACTTCCTAGCTCTCTCCGGTCTGCAGCTATTAACCATTTCCTTTCTACACACGCACACGCATGCACACCAGCACTCACAGTGTGTGAGGCTTGCTAGGAGTTCACCAAATCAGCTTCCTCCTGGGCAAACAGCTAAACTACATTTCCCAGCCCCTATTGCCGTTTGGTGAGGCCACCCAACCGAGCCCACAGAGCTTGAGTGGAAGTGTGAGTGCCACCTGCAGACCTGCCCGCACACCTCATCCATGTGAGCTCTCCCCTCCCTTACACCTCTCCCCTCCCCTGGCTGCATGGCAACTGCTTGGAGCAAAGTCCACTCCTAGCCACTCCCATGAACTGAGCTTAATGTGGGGGAGAAGTCACTGTGCTGAGACTCTGGCACTTTGGGGTTACAGTTAGAGCAGACAGAGGCACCCTGACATACGTACAACCTCTTCCACCTCTTGTACCAAACAGACTCAAGGAATGGCAGACTTGGAAGGGCTTTTAGAAATCGGCCACTTCAACTCCCTTAGTGAACAGATGGGTGGAATGAGGCCCAGGAGAGGGGCGTCGGCTGCCCAAGGCCACACAGCAAAATGGGCACAGCCAGCCTTGGAAGCCAAGGGGGCCACCTCCCCGTCCCAGGCCGCAGAGCTGGGTTTGGAGACGCTTCCCCAACCAAGGCAGCAGGCAGGGGCCTCGAGTACCTGCTTTTGGGGTTTGGTGCTCGCAGCCGGCAGCAGAAAGCGCTGGCCCAGGACGGTGCCCACTCGAGCAGCATACATGTGGTCGCCGAGCACAGGGCAGAGCTGCAGGACCATGTGCACCTGCAGCTGGCTGGGGAACGCTGGGTGACAGGAGAGACGGGACAGATGGGGGACGGGGGCAGCTGCTCCGGCTCACCCAGCACTGCCCCTCCTCCTTTCCTTCCGGAAACGCCACCTCCATCCTCAAATCTTGTGGTTTCAGTGAAGGTGCTACAGCCCTGCCTCCAGAGAGGGGCAGAAGACCAGGTCGGGACAATCAAAGCTGTCAATCCACCTGGCCTGTGGGATGTGCCCATGATGAGATGCAACCCTGAACTAACTGTTGAAGCATCGGAGTAAGGACTGCTCTTTTCTGCTGGGGTGCAAGCCTGAAGCTGCCTCTGCCAGCTGGGCCTGGTCACATACACCCATGGGGTCCACCAGCTGTTCCCCTAGGCTGCTGCTGAGGACCACCCCCCTTCCCACCCACTGGCGTCCCCAAGCCACGTCCCATTCTGAAGGCTGGCTGGGAGTCCAGACCCACCTGTCACTGGCTGCAGCTGGACCAGGGCGCAGCCGGAGCCTGTGGCTACCACACGGAAGTGGCTGAGGGTCTTCTTGACACCTTCTAGGATGTCCTTTCGGGAGGGGTCCTTTACCGGAACTACCTGGGGTGCCGGCCAGGAATGAACAGGCTGCACTCACACCTGGGAACTGTGCCCAGACTGTCCTGCTCCCAAAGGGTTCAGGACAGGGCCCCAGCACAGGCAGCAGTCACTCGCCTGTTCGTTCTGGGGGACAGGAGAGCCAGCCACCCCAAGTCTGTACCCCTGACTCCTCCACAGGGGTGACATATCTGGAAGGACCCCTCCTCTTTCCTACTCGAATGCTGACTCACAAGACTGACTGTGTCAGTATGTTCCAGTTTCAAAGCTGCCTGGATCTTCCCGTCAGAAACAGCTGGGATCCCATCGGTGACAGCACTGAAAGGGGGGCAGGAGGAGGTCACAGAGAGGCCTGCCGAGACCTCCCTGTTGTCCTAGGAGCCTCCCGGCACCTCTCACCAGTAGGTGACTGTGGGTCTCTGGGCTCTCCGTGAGTGGATGAAGAACTTCTGGAGGCGACTTGCTGTCTGGGGACAACTAGAAAGGAGTACAAGCCCAGAGGTCTCCCTGGTGGAAGGGAACAAATCACACAAGTTAAAGTCCCTTGGGCTCATACACAAAAAAGGAGACTCCTATGAAGGAACACTGACCTGTTTAAGGCCAAACAAGAACACCAGGACTATAAGTCAGACCACCTCCTCAGAAACAAGTAAGGCTTCCCCTTGTTTGATAACAAGACTATTTAGCTTAATGTGTTTCTTATCTTGCTTGCCCTGGCTGGCAGGAAGCTCAGAGCCAAACATCATAACAATTGCTACCAATTGCTGGCTGACTGCCGTGTGCCAGACACTCTATTAGGAACTTTAAGTTTGACTAGGAACTTAAATAATTAAGCTCCCCACAAAGAAGCTCAAAGTTTGTGGAATTGCAGAAATATTTCATCTTAAGTACCATCTCTAATTGATAGCAGTTAAAGGAAAGAATATCATGGATTGACTACCAAGGCCAGCCATAAGTATGAGCTTGGAGAAGTGACTGCACACTGAGCACAGGAATTATTTTTTCTATTTTACAATTAAGGGAACTGAGGCTCCCCTTCATACTTTGCCTAAAGTCACACAGTTTGTACATAAGATTTGAACTAAGATCCATTGGCTTCCTCCTTTTCAGAGTCCTTGTATTCTACCTGTTTGATCTCAAACCTTCCCATGGAAAATGTGTCAGCTTATTCCTGAGCAGCTATTCCACCACCCCAAATAGACACCTGTCCTCCTACCTTCCTATCACCCCACCACCACTTACTTCCCAGGTGCTCGGACAACCTGGAGCTCCTGCTTCCCAAGCCCCAGGGACTGGCTCAACTCTGGCAGCACTGAGAGTAATGTCAGCTCTTCTGGTTTTCCTGGAAAATAAGAAGGAAGATCTAGGTGCAGTGGCTTATGCCTGTAGTCCCAGCTACTCAGGAGGCTGAGGCAGGAGGATCACTTGAGACCAGGAGTTTGAGACCAGCCTGGGCAACACAGTGAGACACCTCACACACACCTACAATGTCTAAAAACATTTTTTGAATTAGCTGGGTGCAGTGGCATGCACCTTTAGTCCAGCTACTAGGGAGGCTGAGGTAGAAGGATGGCTTGAGTTCCAGGAGTTCCCAGCCTGGGTGATAAGGCCAGAAGTCATAAAAAAAAAAAAAAAAGAGAGAGAGAGAGGGAGGGAGGGAGGGAAGACAGGGAGAAGGAGAGAGGGGGGAGAGGGAGAAGGAAAGGGAGAGAGAAAAAGAAAAACAGAAAAAGGAAAAGAAAAAAAAAATTCAAGCAAGAAAAAAAAGGAAGGTAGGTAGGTAGAAACTGCTCCCTTTATTCCCTCCCTCATCGACATCAAACCCCCTTTCACTGTATTCTCTTTCCATATGCCCTGCCCGTACCTGTCACTGGCAGACCCTGTGGCTTGTTCAGTGTTACCAGAGGTCCTGAAATAGATATCACATGAACATCAGCAACATCAAAAGCATCAGTGCATCTTTATGCAGCGCTGAGAGTTTTGGTTTTTTTTTTTTTTTTTTTTTTTTTTTGAGACAGAGTCTTGCTTTGTTGCCCTGGCTAGAGTGAGTGCCTTGCCATCACCCTAGCTCACAGCAACATCAAACTCCTGGGCTCAAGCAGTCCTCCTGCCTCAGCCTCCTGAGTAGCTGGGACTACAGGCACGAGCCATGACGCCCGGCTAATTTTTTCTATATATTTTTAGTTGGCCTATTAATTTCTTTCTATTTATAGTAGAGATGGGGTCTCGCTCTTGCTCAGGCTGGTTTCGAACTCCTGCCCTTGAGCAATCCCCAGGCCTCGGCCTCCCAAGAGTGATAGGATTACAGGCGTGAGCCACCATGCCCAGCCCAGCACTGAGAATTTACGAAGCACTTTCTCATTCATCTTAGCCCACAGCCCATTACAACTCTTAGGCTTGAGTTACCAGCTCCCCCCCAAACTGAACTTTTCTGTTCCTCACATATGCCAAACTCACTGCCACCTCAGGGCCTTTGCACTCGCTGCTTTCTCTGTCTCAAGTTTTCACGAGCTGGGCGTGGTGGCTCATGTCTATAATCCTAGCTCTCTGGGAGGTCAAGGGAGGATCACTTGAGCCCAGGAGTTTGAGGTTGCTGTGAGCTATGAGGATGCCACTGCACTCCACCCTGAGCAACAGAATGAAACTCTGTCTCAAAAAACCGAAACAACAAAACCAACAAATTTTCAAGAGCCTGGCTCCTTCCCATCATCCTGGTGCAAACATCTTGCCAGAGAGATCTGAATCTCCAATCTGCCCCTCTTCTACAGTTCCTACTATCATAACTCCCTGTTTTACTTTATTCACAGCACTGACCACTAGTAACTTGTTCATTTCTTTTCTGATTAACCCATTTCTCCCACTACTGGTAGAATGTTGGCTCCCTGAGGGCAGGAACCATATTTATCTTTTTCAGGGCTGAAGATTGCCTTGAATAGCGCCTAGAACATAGCAAATGTTGAGATTGCCTTGAATAGCAATAAGAACATAGCAAATGTTGAATAAACAGTTGAGAAAATGAATAAATCACTGAATGGAGAGGCTCAAGCCTGTAATCCTAGCACTCTGGGAGTCCAAGGCAGGAGGATCGCTCAAGGTCAGGAGCTCAAAACCAGCCTGAGCAAGAGCAAGACCCCATCTCTACTAAAAATAGAAAAAAATTAATTGGCCAACTAAAAATACGGAAAAAAAATTAGCCAGGCATGGTGGCGCATGCCTGTAGTCCCAGCTACTTGGGAGGCTGAGGCAGAAGGATTGCTTGAGCCCAGGGGTTTGAGGTTACTGTGAGCGAGGCTCATGCCACGACACTCTAGCCCGGGCAACAGAGTGAGACGCTGTCTCAAAAAAAAAAAAAAAAAAAAAAATCACTGAATGGAAACTGAGGTTCAGAGAAATTATCTTCCTAAAGCCATACAGCAGGCTAAATCACAGAGCCTAGTTATGTCTGTCTACAAAGCCTATGATTTGTTCGCCAATACACAGTAATTCACTCTTACAGCAATCCCCATGACCGAGCACCTACTATGGGCAAGGCTCTCCTCTAGTCGTCTGCACCCTCTCCCCGCCACAACCCTGTCGCCACGAGGCTGGGACACGTCCCGTGTGGCTCGTCCCAGCTCACGCTGCCTGCTAGTGGGAGGGAGACCCAGGATTTGATCCCGAGGGATTTAAAGTAGGGCCCTGCCAACACACCGGCGGGTCCCTGCGGCCGGCCGTCTCTCTCACCCCTCACCTTTCCGGTCCACCACGGCGGCCCTGAGCACCTCGACCAACTGCTCCCGGCTGAGGTTCTCCGGCTGCAGCGGCCCCGGGAAGGGCGGGTCCCCGAGGGGCCGCAGCCGTCTGCTGGAGCCTCCAGCTTGCAGCTGATGCCTAGAAAAAGCAGGCAAAGCAATCAATCACTCGCTTCCCGAGGCGCCGTCCATGCCTTTCTCCACACACCTCTTACCAACGCCTCCGAAAGTCCGGGCTGAGCTTCCCCAAAACTCACTTACGACGACCCGCCCCGCTTTACAGCGGAGAGAAACTGAGGCTCGCTCACTCAGAGACGCCAAGGGACTAGTTTAGGGCCACACAGCAGAGCCGGGCTAAAAAAACCTGCGCCTCACCGAGATCCCGCATGCCCCCTCCCCCAGCCCTAGCTTCCCCTCCACAGGAAGGAGAAGGTGCTTAATCACCGGGCCCGGGTGACAATGCCTGCGTCCTTGGCCTCCGAGCAGCCCCTCAGCCCCCGACGCCAGCCAGCCCACACCAGGCCCAGAATGCCGCGGCCATCCATCTCCGAGCGGGGGCAGTGCGCATGCGTGACCGGAAAAGCAGCCCTTGTGCTCCACTGCGAAACGCTGATTGGCCAGACGGCCTGTCAATCTAAATGGCGAGGCCGAGAGCTGCGGCTCACGCCTGTAATATGGGAGGCCGAGGCGGGCCAGATCCCTCAAAATCAAGAGTTCGAAACCAGCCTGAGCAAGAGCCAGACACCCGTCTCTACTCAAAAAAAAGAAATGAATTGGCCAAGTAAAAACATATAGAAAAAAAATTAGCTGGGCGCGGTGCCTGTAGTCCCAGCTACTCAGGAGGCTGAGGCAGGAGGATTGCTTGAGCCCAGGAGTTTGAGGTTGCTGTGAACTAGGCCAACGCCAGGGCACCCTAGCTCGGGTGACAGAGTGAGACTCTGTCTCAATAAAAAAATAAAATAAAATAAATAAAATAAAATAAAATAATAAAATAAAATGAAAAAAAAATAAAATAAAAGATATGGACAAATATGTACAGGACTGGGGGGAAATGTGACCAAAATGCAGGCAGTTTTATCTTGGGCTCCACCACGGGGACATGGCTGTGCTTTGTCACAGCCCCCACAGTATTTTGGAACCCTTCTGAGAGGAAGGGCTCCTGTGTCCTGGTCGGTCCCAGCCTGAGCGAAGACAGACGGAGGCCCAGAGGCTGGAACAAGGAGACACCCTTGACAACAGCGGACTTTTCCACCGGCCGCACTTGGCCCCAGAAAAGGCCATTGTCCCCCGGGAACAAGCCCTCTGGTCCTCCTGAGGCTCAAGCTCCCTTGCTTTTTGGAATCTCCCCTCCCCAGCCCCCAGCCTCATCAAACCTGCTCTTTCCTGTTCCCTGCTGCTTTGATTCCAGGAGCCTTTGAGCTTGTGGGAGAAAAGAAGAACCTTATTTTCCCTGGGCCCAGAGGGCTCAATGCCAAGAGACTGTGGTCAGTGACTAGAGACTCACTTGTGAAACTCCAGATCTCGGATCTCCCGAAGAAGGGAGTTTGGGACAAATACCAAGCTTCCACCATCCCCCACTCCAACGCTGTTATTAAGAACTTTATAGGGCCCATCGAGGTGGCTAACACCTGTAATCCTAGCACTCCCGGAGGCGGAGGCGGGTGGATTGCTCAAGGTCAGGAATTTGAAACCAACCTGAGCAAGAGCAAGACCCGTCTCTACTATAAAAATAGAAATAATTGGCCAACTAAAAATATATACAAAAAATTAGCCGGGCATGGTGGTGCATGCCTGTAGTCCCAGCTACTTGGGAGGCTGAGGCAGATTTACTTCATTTTTTTAAAATGCTGGGATTACAGGTGTGAGCCATCATGCCCAGCCTATCTCATCATTCTATTGGATCTAATAAAATGGATCTCCTTAAATAATTATAATTCTTGCTAATTCTCTAATTATTAATTCAATAAAATCTTTGACACATGCTCATTTTGTAAACATTGATTAGAAGACTATTCAGAAAATTTACTATCTTAAGGCCGAGCCCGGTGGCTCATGCCTGTAATGCTAGTACTCTGGGAGGCCCAGTGGGAGGATTGCTCAAGGTCAAGAGTTCAAGACCAACCTGAGCCAGATGCCTGTCTCTACTATAATAAAACATTGATTGGTCAACTAAAAATATATAGAAAATATTAGCCGGGCATGGTGACACATGCCTGTAGTCCCAGTGAGGCTGAGGAAGAAGGATTGCTTGAGACCAGGAGATTTTTTTCTATTTTTTTTTTGAGACAGAGTCTTGCTTTGTTGCCTAGGCTGGAGTGAGTGCCGTGTGTCAGTACCTCAAACTCCTGGGCTCAAGCGATCCTACTGCCTCAGCCTCCCGAGTAACTGGGACTACAGGCATGCACCACCATGCCCGGCTAATTTTTTCTATATATATTATAGTTGGCCAATTAATTCCTTTCTATTTATAGTAGAGACGGGGTCTCGCTCTTGCTCAGGCTGGTTTCGAACTCCTGACCTTGAGCAATCTGCCTTCTCAGCCTCCGCGGAGTGCTAGGATGACAGGCATCAGCCACCGCGCCGGCCCAGCCCAGGAGTTGGAGGTTGCTGTGAGCGAGGCTGACACACATGGCACTCTAACCCAGGCAACAAAGACTCTGTCTCAAAAAAAAAAAAAAATTACTATATTCAGTGAAAAAATATAGTCGCGCAATACAGTAGAAAGTAATGACAAAACTAAACGTATCCAAGTTCCACTAGGAGGAGTACGTGTGCCCCTTTGGCACACCAGTGCGATCAAAGCACTTTGATAAATCATACATTTCTGGCTGGGCGCTGTGGCTCACGCCTGTAATCCTAGCTCTGTGGGAGGCCCAGGTGGCAGATCATTTGAGCTCAGGAGTTTGAGACCAGCCTGAGCTAGAGCGAGACCCTGTCTCTACTATAAATAGAAAGAAATTAATTGGCCAACTAATATATATATAGAAAAAATTAGCAGGGCATGGTGGCTCATGCCTGTAGTCCCAGCTACTCGGGAGGCTGAGGCAGGAGGATCGCTTGAGCCCAGGAGTTTGAGGTTGCTGTGAGCTAGGTTGACGCCACGGCACTCACTCTAGCCTGGGCAACAAAGTAAGACTCTGTCTCCAAAAAAAAAAAAAAAAAAATCGTACATTTCTGTATTCTCTAATATGACGTTAAGCTTTGTCAGCATCAATGCCAGACCCAGGCCCTGAGAAAGCCGAGAAGCCTGGAACAGATCAGATTCTCCTGCTGCTTCACACACACACACACACACACACACACACACCACACACACCCGCCCCAGCAAACCGCAATCCACAATCCACAATCCACTCACCTCAGGATGCGCTTGGCCCCACAGCAGTGCAGGTCATAAGAAAGGGAGTACGTGTCATAGAGAGTCGCCTTCACGTTCAGGCAGCCAATGAAGTCCTGTGGGTTCAGCTTGTACAGGTCAAAGGTTATTCGGGCCACATCAATCTTCTTGGCAGGCTTATGGGAGAGGGAGGCTGGTACCTCGATCCTGCATCAAAACAAGCAGATGGGCCGGATGTGGTGGCTCATGCTGTCATCCTAGCCCCTGTGAGGCCAAGGTGGGAGGACTGCTGGAGCTCAGGAGTTCGAGACCTGCCTGAGCAAGAGCGAGACCCCGTCTCTACTAAAAAATAGAAATTAATTGGCCAACTAAAAATATACAGATAAATTAGCCGGGCATGTGGCGCATGCCTGTAATCCCAGCTACTCTGGCTGAGGCTAGGCAGAAGGATTGCTTGAGCCCAGGAGTTGAGGTTGCTGTGAGCTAGGCTGATGCCACGGCACTCTAGCCTGGGCAACAAGTGAGATTCTGTCTCAAAAAAAAAAAAAAGACAGCAGATGGTTAGTAGCCCTTGAGGTCTTCGTCCAGGCTCCCAGTTCCCCCTCCCTGCAATAGGTGAGACTAACCTGTTCTGATGCAGGCTGCCATTTCTGCCCCTTCTGGAGGACCATGAACACTGTATTCCCTGCCAAAGCTTGGAATAGTCTTCTGTCTCTACGGTGTGCCATCTTCCTCTAGCACCAGGATGAAGGGCTTGTCTGCCAGCATCAGGATGTCCCGGACCTGAGGAATGAGGTCAGTGATATCTCAGCCATCCCATGAAGCCCAGGGCTGGTATTGGGAACACCCACATGAAGTCACCTCAGCTGCCAGGGAGAGAACAATAGCTGGGATCTACTGCATGAAACTGGAAGCCAGGCTCTCTAGCATGGTTCACTACCCAAAGATTTGATTTTATTTTATTTATTTATTTTTATTTTATTTTATTTATTTATTTATTTACTTTATTTCTTTTTGAGACAGAGTCTCCACTTTGTTGCCCAGGCTAGAGTGAGTGCCATGGCGTCAGCCTCGCTCACAGCAACCTCAATCTCCTGGGCTCAAGCAATCCTCCTGCCTCAGCCTCCCAAGTAGCTGGGACTACAGGCATGCGCCACCATGCCGGCTAATTTTTTCTATATATATTAGTTGGCAATTAATTTCTTTCTATTTATAGTAGAGATGGGTCTCGCTCTTGTTCAGGCTGGTTTCGAACTCCGACCTCGAGCAATCCACCCGCCTTGGCCTCCCAGAGTGCTAGGATTACAGGCGTGAGCCACTGCGCCCGGCCCAAAGATTTTTTTATTTGAGACAGAGTCTCCTCTGTTGCCCAGGCTAGAGTGCTGTGGCGTCAGCCTAGCTCACAGCAACCTCCAACTCCTGGGCTCAAGCGATCCTCCTGCCTCAGCCCCCCAGTAGCTGGACTAACAGGCATGTGCCACCATGCCTGGCTCATTTTTTTTCTATACATATTAGTTGGCCATTAATTTCTTTCTATTTTTAGTAGAGACAGGGTCTCACTCTTGCTCAGGCTGGTCTTGAACTCCTGACCT